AGAAGTGAAGAAGTAACTCACATTTCAAACTCCCAAAAAACGGTCACTCCGTCCGCCATGTTTAACCTGAGCGATGGTGAACGGTATTTTGGGATCGCCTTCACCGACAAGGATACATGCGATGCTGCCTTCAGATTTGGTCAAAATAAGGCACCTTAGAAGGCAGCTGCCTTAAGCTGCCTTCCGAATGGGACAGCCTTTGTCTCGGGAGCGCGCAAATGCTGCCTTAGAATGCTGCCTACTTAGACAGCTGCCTTCCGATTGGAACGCACCATAAGTGTATTTTGTTAATCCAATAGCTTTATCTTAATGCATTGACTTTGATGCTATGCAGAGTTTTTCACTGAGGTCACGGATGTACAGATTTTTATTTATTTTTTTCTTGCGTTTTTCCTTTAAGAAAACAAGGGAGCTGCATGTCGTCATGCTGTGGACTGAACTTAAATTTGGGAACATGTGGGACGAAGACACACATCTGTTAAGCTGTAGTTTTTTGTTTGCAACTGAAACAGAGTAAAGTGAAGTATTATACCGAAGATTTGTGTGTTTCAGGTGGATAGGCTGCCAGTGTGGAACACACATCAGTTACACGACTCTGCTTTTACTTTCGTTTTGAAACCCCACTACATAATTATTTTGCCTCATGTAAAACAGAACCTAAACAGTGTTTTCAAGATTGATTTTTAACGATGAAGCTTGGAGTTTTGATCTCTATTAATAAGCATCGTCTAATATGATGACCAGTATAAGCTGGTGTTGTCTATGTAGAAATGTTTGGTATTTGTAGACCTGATTTTCCACTCTTGCTGGCCATTGGTGGAGAGGTCTACAATAGCTTCCTTAAACTAAAGCTATCACTGACACCTTCAGCACTGAAGCTTAAGCAGCCAAACTGACTTCTCTGAACAAGAACATCAACTGGCTGAACTTCTCAACAGAAAATTGTTTAAGGTCTGCCAACAGAATATGAAATGAAGATGTGAGCGCCTGTATTCTGTGTTTTCATGATTCCTTTTCAGACCACTATGTATGCAAAAGTTTAGGTACCACTGGCTAATCTAGATGTTTTGTTGAATGAGTGAAGTTAAAACATGCATATTACTTCAAAATGTAATGTATAAATTCTGTCCATTTGCTTAATGTAAAAAATGTTACATACAAGTCAACAAAATACATGTAGTCTTATGCAAAAGTTTCAAATGACATGTTGTTGATTGTCTAAGTGTAAATAAGTCATATAAATATATAACACAATAACACATCCTCTACAGGAACCACACTTCTGTACATTTAAATATGCTCAGCCAATTCAACTGGAAAAAACTGACCAATCACACCTAAATAAGAGTCTGAACACAAATATGGAATCTTTCATCAGTGATGAAAATAGGACTAAAATGAAAGAGTGTGAGATTTAACATTGGTGGAGAGTGCAGTATGAATACATTCAACACAGTAGACATCAGTGGAAAGCGGCACTATAGGCATATTTAAGCCACACACACACACACACACACACACACATATGTGTATATATATATATATATATATATATATATACATACACACACACACACAAACTGATCAGACATAACATTATGACCACCTCCTTGTTTCTCTGCTCATTGTCCATTTTATCAGCTCCACTTACTATATAGGTGCACTTTGTAGTTCTACAGTTACAGACTGTAGTCCATCTGTTTCTCTGATACTTTGTTAGCCCCCTTTTACCCTGTTCTTCAGTGGTCAGGACCCCCATGGACCCTCACAGAGCAGGTACTATTTGGGTGGTGGATCATTCTCAGCACTACAGTAACACTGATGTGGTGGTGGTGTGTTAGTGTGTGTTGTGCTGGTACAAGTGGATCAGACGAAGCAGTGCTGTGGGAGTCTCTCTCCATACATACATGTGCACATTCAACATACAAACAATATTAATGAGCTAGCCATAGTTAACACTGTGTCTTCCCTTTTTACAGGTACCTGCAATCTGGATCCCCCCTCACCTGGATCCCCCTGGACCTCAGGTAAATAGAAGTTTAGATTTTTACACTAAACGTCTGTCATAATAAAAGCCACCTTAATGTCGATGAAGGTAAGAGGTGAACTATAGTCCTGGTGATGTGTTGGGGTGTCCTAACATCATCACAGTGTTATAAGGCAAAAATAATCTTGGATTTACCTCTGTTTCACCATCATCAACATTCCATATAAACTCAGAAGACTCGTGTAGGTTCACTGGTGGTTTTGATAGTAAATAAAATGTCTATGTCTGTGTTGTAGTCATGGTGACCCCTGGTTCCTATCACCACCACTGTAAAGACATCAGAACCATTTCACACCAAACCACTCTGAATCACTCTGTTTACATCATAGTGACTGAATAAAATAAAATATAATATATATACAAATAAAATATATCGGTGGAATTTCCCTTTCAGGGGCAGGTGTCTGGCCGCTGCAGTAAAACAGAGTGAGACAGTCTGCCTAATCTCTTTATCTCTCAAAATGAACGGAGCCCTTCTAGATTAGTTCTAAATGCTTAATATGCAGCTGTGAGAACCAGTTTGGTTGCATCTGTAATTTATCTGCGTCCCAAACTCCAAACTACAGCACTAAATCACACGGCGCACCGCCCTTACAAGTGCACTCATTAGTGTAGAGTGTAAAGCACAGAAGTGCGCGGTTCGGGACGCAGCCTCAGTTATGTTAGCTTAAATTTCAGAGCGCGAGGCTGAGGTACGTCACTCTCTCTGGCAATCAATAAGAAGTTCTCTTAATGAGGTAAATAAGAAGTCATGAAGAAACGTTCAGATTACAGACGCAGTGTAGTTTGAGGCTAATATCGAGACGACACGCTTTGAGCATCTCTCTGTTCATACATCCATCATCTAAACCGCTTATCCTTCTGGGTCGCGGTGGGGTGCTGGAGCCTATCCCAGCTGTCATTGGGCGGAAGGCAGGATACACCCTGGACAGGTCGCCAGTCCATCGCAGGGCAGACAGACAGACACACTCACACTCTTAGGGGCAATTCAGCATGTCCAATCAGCCTGACTGCATGTCTTTGGACTGTGGGAGGAAACCGGAGTACCCGGAGGAAACCCACGCAGACACGGGGAGAACAGGCAAACTCCACACAGAAACGACCCTGGTCACCCGGCCGGGAATCGAACCAACTCTTGCTGTGAGGCGACAGCGCTACCCACCGCGCCACCGTGCCGCCCTCTCTCTGTTCACCAGCTTCTCATTCCAACTTTCCGTTCCACCTTAAGTGGCACAGAGGTTACATTACGGCGCCTGTACAGCTAACTGCTACACGATTTAAGGTGGAACCTGTACGGCTAACTGCTACACGATTTAAGGTGGAACGGAAAGTTCGAATGAGAACCCGGCGTAGAAGAGACGAACGACAGCTCCGTTTCGGTGACCGGAGTCATTCCGGGTCGAAAGTAATTTCTCTCCGTAATCCGGTATCTGAATCCCAATCAAAGTCCGACACCGCCAGAAAACAACCCTTTAAAATGAACTAAAATATCAGAAAAGCTGCTGCAGTGGGTTGTTTACGTTGCCATGGTTACGGTCACAGCGCAGATCAAGCAGAGAAGCGGAGCTTTTAGCTAATTTACGGCTTTTAGCTCCATTTTAGATCTGGTTAATGACCATCAGCTCATATTACTGAGAACCAGGTGGAAACGATGAAGGTGTTTATCTAGTTTTATAGTGCCAGGTTTTCTTATTTCTATATAATAATAATAATAATAATAATAATAATTTACTGTTGAGCTAAATATGATTGTAGGAATCAATTCAACACATTATATGTAATTTTATTTCACCTAATAGCTCTAATATTTTCAGTGAGTCAGATCAATCGGCTCAGATCGTTAATAAGAGTCGACTCTACTCTTTCGGCTCCCAAACGGCTCTTCATTCAGCAGCATTGTCCGTTTATTGATTAGCCAAGTTAACAATATTGTTTATTATTTGTTTTTCAGTAAAACCTCCGTCTGCTTTCTAATGAAATGTGCATTGTGTTTGTTATGAAACGAAAAAGTTAGATGTTGATAAGTAGATTAATCAAAAAACGGCTCCTCAGTGCGAGTCGGCTCCCAACGCTCATCTAAAAGATCCGACTCAAAGTGCCGACTCCTTCGCGAACGACCCTTCTCTGCTGGCTCGTTGGTTAAACAGCGTACTGATAGGCGGGACTGCGGGCGACATTACTTTACAATGAGACTGAGAATACGATGGGATTATCAACAATGTCGATACGCAAACAGCGCAGCAATGTTGACAGTGCTTCTGACAATGTTGTACCAACGTTGCAAGAAGTTTTTTTTGTTTTTGTTGTTTTTTTAAAATGCAGGTTTACGCAGAAGTGAAAAGTGTAAGCTTATATTTTATAAAAAAAATAAAATTATTTTTTTTAATAATAACAACAACAATAATAATAACATATAACGAAGACATTCAAAGAGATTTAACACTCGGTTACTTTCAAAACTCAGACCAGAAGCTTTCTTTCTTCTTTCTTCTTTCACAGAAAACGTAAGCAGTGACGTAACGACGGGTCTGACCGGATTGCAGCTTCTTGTGCGAGTCGGATCAGTTGGTTCGGCTCACTGATGAGAGTCGACTCTTTCGGATATCTTGTGTTGTGTTTGTATTTAAATAGAAGTAAAAGACAGAAAGTGCTCACACCACAGACTGCATACAGGTGAGATTACTGTACATTACTCAGGTGAGCTTTATGCTGTGTCTGCTGCCCTCATTTCACATTTTAACTCATTTAAACTCAACTCGGGGATTTGACAGAGCAGCGTTTCTCAGTAAGCAGGAGAACTCGAGGACTGACCAGTGGGAATGGTCTTTAGCTCCTCTCCTGCTGGACAGGCCTGTTTTATTGGCCTGAGTGTTTAGGCTAACTGGGAAACCCTGCTTTGTGAGTCGGCTCCGTTCACATAAAAGAGCCTGACTCGAAGAGTCGGTTCTCTGAATGAACCTCGTACAGGAGTGTGGAGGAAGTTTTCCCTCGTCCGCTTTTTCTTTTTCGAAGAATGGTTTATATAACTCTTCTTCGACGATGCTGACGGTGGTCGAAGGTGACGATGATCCATACTGGTTTAGTTTTAGCGCTGCTGAGTTTGAGTTTTCTTCTGCCTGATGTTGCTGGAGGTGAGTTTTCTGTCCTCTTACTCGGACGGAAGTTTGAGAAGTTAGTTTCACTTTTAAATGAATCAGACTGAATATAAGGTAACCTATAGATCACTGTGTCAGTTATTCTCTTTATAGTGTTGATTAATGTCAGTAAATCAGTGCGGTTAAACTGATTCAGTGTCTGATTAAACTGCAGTATTAACTATTTACTAAAGGCCGGTTAAGCTTAGCTCGGTTCAGCTCAGCTCAGCTCGGTTCAGTTCAGTTCAGCTCAGCTCAGCTCGGTTCAGCTCAGCTCGGTTCAGTTCAGTTCAGCTCAGCTCAGCTCGGTTCAGCTCAGCTCGGTTCAGTTCAGTTTGTATTGAAATGTTTATGGTCATTAAAGGCCTCAACTGGCGAATGTCCAGTTAATCACCTAACTAAAGATTCTCCAGAGTACAGACGGTGTAACACTGTGTGGAGTATAAACAGAATAATATCTGGTAACATATGAACGAATGGCTGAACGGAAATGGAGGCCTTGAACAGAGAAAACTAATCTGAGGTTTTTGTTTTGGGGCGAGTGAAGCTCAGGAGAGCTGAGGAAGTCTGTAGACTGAGGAATGTGCGCTGCTGTTGAGAGATTAATTCCCAAATTCCAGTATGAAGAAGGAAACTGGTATCTGCGACAGAAGCCTGGTCAGATCTCAGTGCTCTAAGTCTAGTTTACCCTGTTCACTCTATTTACACCAGTGTTTTACACCAGAGGCGATGGTGACAGTGTTCTGGAGGTGATGGTGACAGTGTTCTGGAGGTGGTGGTGACAGTGTTCTGGAGGTGATGGTGACAGTGTTCTGGAGGTGATGGTGACAGTGTTTTAGAGGCGATGGTGACAGTGCTCTGGAGGTGATGGTGACAGTGCTCTGGAGGTGGTGGTGACAGTGCTCTGGAGGTGATGGTGACAGTGTTCTGGAGGTGATGGTGACAGTGTTCTGGAGGTGATGGTGACTGTTCTAGAGGCGATGGTGACAGTGTTCTGGAGGCGGTGGTGACAGTGTTCTGGAGGTGGTGGTGACAGTGTTCTGGAGGTGGTGGTGACAGTGTTTTAGAGGTGGTGGTGACAGTGTTCTGGAGGTGGTGGTGACAGTGTTCTGGAGGTGGTGGTGACAGTGTTCTGGAGGTGATGGTGACAGTGTTTTAGAGGCGATGGTGACAGTGTTCTGGAGGTGGTGGTGACAGTGTTCTGGAGGTGGTGGTGACAGTGTTCTGGAGGTGGTGGTGACAGTGTTTTAGAGGTGATGGTGACAGTGTTCTGGAGGTGGTGGTGACAGTGTTCTGGAGGTGGTGGTGACAGTGTTTTAGAGGTGGTGGTGATAGTGTTTTAGAGGCGATGGTGACAGTGTTCTGGAGGTGGTGGTGACAGTGTTCTAGAGGTGGTGGTGACAGTGTTATGGAGGTGGTGGTGACAGTGTTTTAGAGGTGGTGGTGACAGTGTTTTAGAGGTGGTGGTGACAGTGTTCTGGAGGTGGTGGTGGTGACAGTGTTCTGGAGGTGATAGTGACAGTGTTTTAGAGGCGATGGTGACAGTGTTCTGGAGGTGATGATTGTTCTGGAGGTGGTGGTGACAGTGTTCTGGAGGTGGTGGTGACAGTGTTCTGGAGGCGATGGTGACAGTGTTCTAGAGGTGGTGGTGACAGTGTTCTGGAGGTGATGGTGACACTGTTTTAGAGGCGATGGTGACAGTGTTCTAGAGTTAGTGGTGACAGTGTTCTAGAGGTGGTGGTGACAGTGTTCTAGAAGTGATGGTGACAGTGTTCTAGAGGCGATGGTGACAGTGTTCTAGAGGCGGTGATGACAGTGTTCTAGAGGCGATGGTGACAGTGCTCTAGAGGTGGTGGTGACAGTGTTCTGGAGGTGGTGGTGACAGTGTTCTGGAGGCGATGGTGACAGTGTTCTAGAGGCGATGGTGACAGTGTTCTGGAGGTGATGGTGACAGTGTTCTAGAGGTGGTGGTGACAGTGTTCTGGAGGCGATGGTGACAGTGTTCTAGAGGCGATGGTGACAGTGTTCTAGAGGTGGTGGTGACAGTGCTCTAGAGGTGGTGGTGACAGTGTAGAAATGTATAGAGGTGATGCACAGAAATAGACAATCTTACTTAAGTTGTATTCGTTGTTTGACTAACTTTAGTGTACCTGAATCCTCCACTATGAGACTGTGATATCTGTGAACTACAAACACTGTTTACACTTCGGTATCAGCAGATACTGGATATTAAAAGAGCCCTGAAATTAAATCAGGTCTTGATCAGGATGTCTATATTTTATATGCTTGAGGTAAATTATGATTCAGTTCAGGTGGCATCGGAATGTAAAAGTGCAAAAGAATGAAGTGATATTGAACTTGACTTCAAGAAATTCCTTCATATTAATTACTGTCCCTGTTTATTGTAGTGAAATCATTGTTTAATATCCAGTCTTTTTATTTCTCCACAGATGAACACTCTCTGTGTTATCTCTACACTATCCAGTCTAAAAGCTCTACAGACAGAATCTATGAGTTCAGTGCAGTGACTCTCCTGGATGACAGACAGATTGACTTTTACAACAGTACGAAAGAAACCAGGACTGCTAAACAGGACTGGATGAAGGACATAAATGAGAGAGAGTGGAAAGATGGCACTGAAAAGCTGAAGTCTGATGGACAACAGCTAAACAAGGTCCTCGACAACCAAATGAAGGCCTTCAAACACAATGAGACAGGTGAGGAAATGCTTTTGTCTTTTTAATTAATTTAGATTAAAATATATATATATATATGTTATATTATTAAAATATCTGAGCAGGTGGTCAGTGGGAAATGCTAACAGGAACATAGTGAGCTGGCGCTAGTTCATAGAACATTAATGTCACATTTAAGATAAAAATGTTACTTGAACGGTGTTACATAACATTGACATAACCATGCCATGAGCATATGATAGCATAACAGTTTATTTCATTTCAGTTTATGTTCATTAATATAAGTGTCAGTTATGTACAGTATAACTGTCATGACAGATACATTATGTTTGATTTTAAATTAGCATGCGACACAAATTAAACATCATGGCATCTGTAATGATAATTACCAGTAATGGTAACTTGACACCGTTATATTACTGAACATAACCTGTCATGTCAACTCATGACAGCAAATGATTTCTGCTGCGACATGTCCACACAGCTCTGAAAACATCAGGTCTGAGTCACATTAGGGCAAAAAATCAGATTTGTGTCACTTCAACCTGATAATGTGAATGTAGCCCTAGAAACATGACTGCTGAGCTGCATTGATTGAACACAATTAGGGGGAATAGTGAACTACAACCGCAACCTTTACTGAACTGTGCTTTAATCTGACAAATACTAAAACTAAGCTCACACAAAATCACTGTTTTCTCCTGCGTCCACTTCAGAGTTAGGAACCGTCTCAAAAATGATTTTATTATTATTAGTAGTAGTAGTAGTCCATGTGTATATACACACTTTGTATAGATAAATGAAATTTTATAAAGATAAATGAAAACTTTATCACAGAGACATGATGCTGATCATTTCATTGCTCATGTCTATGAGATTATCGGCGTGTGCTGTAATACAGACAGAAAACCGTGTCTGTCTTTGCTCACATGAATCACTCTTTATATTTCAGATGGTCATTCTCTGCAGTGGAGAATCGGCTGTGAGGGTGAAAAACATTCAGACGGCTCAGTTTCAGGTTTAAACTGCATTAATGAATACGGCTACGATGGAGAGAGTTTAGTCTCTTATAACTGGACCTTAAAGAAATGGTCAGCCTCAGTCGGTCAGGATGGAGTAACAGAGAAGTGGAACACTGGACGTGGTCAGAACCCTGTTCAGAGATGTCAAGAGTGTGTGGAGTGGCTGAAGATTTATTTAGAGTACAACACCACTGAAACCAAACAGAGTGAGTATTTAGAAAGTGGTTATGATCAGAGTAATAATTTATTTATTATTATTTTTAGCTGTAGTGGTATATGTGTTGGTGGTATGTATGTAGTGGTATTATGTGTTATGTAGGTGCACAGAGTGAAGTGGTGATTTTGGTATTAAAGGGTAATTCCACTGATTTTTCTAAACTCCTCCATATTGAGATGTAAACACAGTTTTTATGTGGAATATTGATGATGGGAAAATAGTGATAAATCTGAAATGTATCCCTCCACCATGAATGGGTTTTAAAAAATGTGCTTTAAGCCAAAATCTTCTCAAAGGGGCAGTCGTGGGCTGGAGGTTATGGAACCAGCCTTGTGACCGGAAGGTTGCTGGTTTTATCCCCTGAGCTGACAGGACATGACTGTGTATAGGGCTGCCCACCGCTCTGGGCCAGTGTGCTCACTGCCCCTAGTATGTGTGTGTTCACTAATGTGTATGCAGTGTTTCACTGCACAGATGGGTTAAATGTGGAGGTGAACTTCCCTGTTGTGGGACTAATAAAGGGTAACTGACTTATTATATTGTGCATTTTTTTTCTTTCCAGCTCAAGTGAATGTTTATGTGTTTATGAAGAAATCTGTAACTGACCTGAAGAAGCTGACCCTGACCTGCCTGGCCACAGGCTTCTACCCCAAAGACGTGGAGATTATACTGAGGAAGTCCAGAACTTCGCTGCCTGAATATCTACTAGCATCTTCAGGAGTCAGACCTAATGATGATGGAACCTACCAGCTGAGGAAGAGTGTGGAGATCCAGGAGGAGGAAGCAGCAGATTATGACTGTTATGTGAATCACAGCTCCATCACAGAACCAGTAATTAAACAGTGGGGTAATTATATCTGTTTGTTGATATTGTAGCTGATTGAAAGCCAGTTTGAGGAGATTATGAGAGGAGAGTATTCTTAAGTTACTGCAGTTATTAATGTAATGTATTTGTCATATTTGCTGAACAGCAGTAGAATAGTAGATTTACAGAAACCAAAAATCAGCAAAAAAATTTAAAAAACTTCTGAACATTTGTCTGATTTAATCAACATCAGTATGGATCATTCTAGCAAACTGGCTCAAACACATTTCAGACCTTTAACTGATCTGGGACTTTAGTCTAAATTCCCTTTGCTTTGAGTGACTCTGGACCTTAATTATATGTATTTTATTAAAACAAATGACTAAACATTTAATTTTGTCACTACTAAAACAATCATAACACTAGATAGATAGCTAGATAGGTAGATACTTTATTGATCCCAAAGGAAATTTAGCAAAACTACCAAATGTTTACCAACTTTACCAAAACTTTACCAAAATGTTTCAGTAGTGACTGTTCCACTACTGACAATTTTAACTCGTTTTGAGCGGAACTCAAAAACACAGCCAGTACATGCCTAGCAAACACAGCTTTGTGCACAGCTGTACACATAAAGTCATCATATTTTTTATTAAAACACAAAAAAGTTTCTGCCAATTGTTCTAAAATAATTGAGCGTGTTAGATGTAAACGGTGATTCAGAGTGGTTTGGTGTGAAATGCTTCAAATGTCTTTACAGTGGTGGTGATAGGAACCAGGGGTCGCCATGACTACAACACAAATATAGACATTTTATTTACTATCCAAAACCACCAGTGAACCTACACGAGTCTTCTGAGTTTATATGAATGTTGATGATGGGATACATTTACTTCAAAACAATAAGATCTAACTGCTCACCATGTGGCCATGAGGGATGAGAGATGCAGCCTCACTTCCTGCTCAAAAATGCAGGGGTGTGGCCAAAATACAGCTCCGCCTACAAACTAAAACTCTTTGTGTTTTTAGTGACATAAAAATGTTATTTATTTGAAAATTAAACTCTTGATACATTTAAATTTTCCAACTTCAATCTTTCAACAGTTTGGGTTTGGGCCAGACACCTCCCAATAGAAAGAACCCTATAAATGATGATTTTGTATATATTTAGTTTATAACTATCTCTATTAATGACTGGGGTTTAAATAGATCAGAAGTTTAAACTAATTCTCTAGAGTGGTCCATATCTGGAATTACTTCCCCAACGCCCCATTTCAGTTGTACATTAATATTATAATTTCTGTCAAATTTGATACTCAAATTTGTAAGGCATGATTTGAAAAAGTGTGTTTGCTGCTGTGAGAATTTAATTCTGTTAAATCTATAGAGTGTAAACTGAGCTTGAGTTGTTCATCAGCAGGTGTCAACACTTCTTATGTGCTATAGCTGCACTCTGTATGGTCTATATATATATACACACACACTATACTTCCTTAGAACCTCTTAGAACCGCTGACCAAAATGTTACACACTGGCTCTACAGCGCCCTCTGGTGGAGGATACAGTTCAGACATCTCATAGTTCTTAAATATGAGAATGATCAGAGAAAGAAGCTTATCTGTTTTTCAAAAGATCCAGATGTTATTTTATTTTTTATACTTAAACTGGACGCATTCCTACTTAGGATCTGTTTCAAATAGGAATCAAATATAAACAATATATGTATAAAACAAATTAAAAAATCATGCATCATCACTTGAAATGAATTGAACAGTCGTACAGTAGGTCTTACAGTAGGTCGTACTGTAGGTCGTACTGTAGGTCTTACAGTAGGTCTTACAGCAGGTCGTACTGTAGGTCTTACAGTAGGTCTTACAGTAGGTCTTACAGCAGGTCTTACAGTAGGTCGTACTGTAGGTCTTACAGTAGGTCATACTGTAGGTCTTACAGTAGGTCTTACAGCAGATCTTACAGTAGGTCGTACTGTAGGCCTTACAGCAGGTCTTACAGTAGGTCTTACAGTAGGTTGTACTGTAGGTCTTACAGTAGGTCTTACAGTAGGTTGTACTGTAGGTCTTACAGTAGGTCTTACAGTAGGTCTTACAGCAGGTCTTACTGTAGGTCATACTGTAGGTCTTACAGCAGGTCTTACAGCAGGTCTTACTGTAGGTCTTACAGCAGGTCTTACTGTAGGTCTTACAGTAGGTCTTACAGCAGGTCTTACTGTAGGTCTTACAGTAGGTCTTACAGTAGGTCGTACTGTAGGTCGTACTGTAGGTCTTACAGCAGGTCTTACAGCAGGTCTTACAGCAGGTTGTACAGTAGGTCTTACAGTAGGTCGTACTGTAGGTCGTACAGCAGGTCTTACAGCAGGTCTTACAGCAGGTCTTACAGTAGGTCGTACTGTAGGTCTTACAGCAGGTCTTACAGTAGGTCATACTGTAGGTCGTACAGCAGGTCTTACAGTAGGTCTTACAGCAGGTCTTACTGTAGGTTGTACTGTAGGTCTTACAGCAGGTCTTACTGTAGGTCTTACAACAGGTCTTACAGTAGGTCGTACTGTAGGTCGTACAGCAGGTCTTACAGCAGGTCTTACAGCAGGTCTTACAGTAGGTCGTACTGTAGGTCTTACAGCAGGTCTTACAGTAGATCTTACAGCAGGTCTTACTGTAGGTCGTACTGTAGGTCTTACAGCAGGTCTTACTGTAGGTCGTACTGTAGGTCGTACAGTAGGTCTTACAGCAGGTCTTACAGTAGGTCTTACAGTAGGTCCTACTGTAGGTTGTACTGTAGGTCGTACTGTAGGTCTTACAGTAGGTCTTCTATTAGATCACACTAGATCCTGAGCTCTGATGGTGGTTGTAATGGTGGAGGTTCAATAGAGATCCAGACTCACCCAGATGTGTTTAAGTGTATCTGTTTCCACAGGATGAAGCTTTTCTGGAGTGCTAGATGAATTTCAGGCATTTCAGTCAAATGGTGATATTTTTTTGTCTGCAGATGGAAAATGCAGTGACTGCCAGGATGGTGTGATTGTAAGAGTGATTGTAGGAGTGACTGTAGGAGTGGTGGCTCTGCTGGCTGTGATCATATATTTTTGTATAAAGAAGAGTAAAAGTAGAGGTGAGTATAGACTGAATCAGTACAGACTCTGTTTAAAGAAGGAACATTAACAGTGATGTAAATACTCCACCATGGACTCTGCCCACAGAACATCTCCAGAATTTTACTAGATCAGTGCTGTCACTGATGTTTCCAGCTATTCTTAACCTCAGTGTGTGACATTAGTGGCAGCTTTAGAGGTGAAATTGGCAGAAAACTTTATAATAACCAGAACCGTAAAGACCCTCCCTTTAGAATTTCACATCAGCCGGTCAGTTCTTAGCAGAGACGCCGTTCTAACAGTCTCTAGTACCCACAGAGCGGCCCTGCTGTGCATGCACATGTCACAGTATAGTGTAGTCACTTAATATTTATAATGTTTTACTGTTTCATTGTTAGTCTTATTCCAGCTGTGTTATTTAGGGCTGCAACACATATTTAATCATATTTGCTAATTCAAATATTCAAGAATTACAGAGACTTTTACCTGTTTTAAGTTTTATCAGTGAACAGTGAGTCTCCAGTAGCAGCGCATCTAAAGAGAGTGAGATAATCTGCCTGCAGGTCACACAGAAACAGTGATTTATATCTAGACTTTGTTCAGGTCAGTCAAATGGTGATATCTCAGCAGCGGTCAGAGGTAGAGCTGTGGAGACTCTGGTTAGTGAGCCGTCTATCCAGAGCAGGAAGAAAGTTAAAACAGAACTGGCCGTTAAGACAGAGACGGCTGAGTTTAGCGCACACTCAGGTACAGATCAGTTTAAATGTGTTTTCTAAGTCGTGTAGAGCACGTCCAGCTGACTCGTATGAACGTCTGCAGAGATTCTGAATGTGACTTTTACTCTTTTTAAATAGATCCAGGTTGTGGATGAATAGTTTTGTTTTGGATTATAAATACAGTTTTTACTTTCAGGTAAAAAAGACAATCATTATCAAACTGTAGCTTAAATAGCAATAAGTAGTCCATCACTGTGGGTTCAGGTGGTCAGTAGTTGGGCATCAAAATGTAAACATAAAATATTTTTACATTAAAAAATGAATAATTTATTTAATTAATTTAAATTACATACTATTTTATGTCTAATTCAAGGAGGTGCAGGAGACGTACAAGCCGAGCCTGTGAATCCTCAGCCGGATGGTGAGTGTTACTGTCATTTCCCACTTCTGGTCATCGTGTTTGGTGATACAGGTTCAGTTTGAGGGTCAGTTTTACAGATTAGATTGTCTTTCTTATCTCCACACTGTGAGTTTCTCCTTTAGCCTCTGGTACAAATCACAGACACTGAGATTCAGCTCTCAAATGGAGAGATAAGGGTTAATAACACAGGAATGTGTTCAAAGCGCTGGACATTATTCTGTGTTTGAGTGTAAAGACAGAGTTCGGCTGATTTGTGGTTCAGAACCGCCAACAGCTCTGACCACACTTCCCTCTTTAACCTCAACCTGGGAGTGTTTTAGTGACGCCCCCAAAGCGGTCAGCAGGTCAGGGAGGTGATTCGGCTCTTAAACAGTGAACGGCTACTGCAGGGGTTGAAAATATATGAATAAAATCTAAAAACTCAAACTCTAATACAAGCACACTGAACTTTACTGCGTTCAGATTCATTTACAGTTCAGATCTGTAGCAGTTGCAGGTAAACAATCCTGAAATCTGGGCGCGCTGCCCAACTTTTAGCACCTCACACTTCATAAAGCATAAAATGTGACCTGAGCAGGTTATATTTTATAATAAACTTGTTCACAGATATGATTTAATTTTACAGTGTATTAACACTGAGTATAAGGAGGGATTCCCCCCATTTACCCCCCATTGTTAGGTCAATTGTCAGGTGAGATTAATTAGACTGTAATTGTGATCTGAGCTCTGAGTCTCTACACACTGAGACATCTTTACTGAACTGCTGTGTTTATCAGGATGATGATCTGAACTGACAGAACTGCACATTTAACAGCAGCTTTTTAAAGCCTTTTTTGTGATTTTCTTAAAATTAAATGTCAGTTAATAGAAATATTAAAATTCTTAGTGTGAATCAATGCAGTGTTTTTTAGTGTATGATCTTTCTCCACACTTCATTATAATGTCAAAAATCTTTAATTCAAGAATGTGCAAGAGAGCGATGCAAGCCCACAGGTGAGTGTTACTGTCATTTCACACTTGAGGTTCAGTTGTGCAGATTAGATTTCTATTTTATAGAGTTTTTCCTTTTGACTCTGGCACAAAATCCTTGTTTTTGAGTTTAGTTATTAATCTAATACATGTTAACATTCTTACTCAGAATTTCAGAAATTACCTCTAGTGTTCAGTGACGTGGGAAGATGTTTAAGGTTGGGGAGCTGAAATTTTAGCAGCGTTTATGTGACGTGAACGATGACGTCATGTACAATTATTCACCTTTTTTCATTTGACTTTTTTGCTGATTTCATTGTTACTGACACGTTAAACCGCTGATACTAATTTCTCTGCTCTCTCGCCTTCTGGACAAACTTTATGCAAATGAGCTGAGCAGCAACCAATCAGATTGCTGATGTGTGTTGCGGTAATGACTGTGTTACACAGTCACACACTGAGATTCAGCACTCAAAGATATAATGGCTAATAAAAAAGAAAGCCCTGGACATTATTCAGTGTCTAAGTGTAAAGACAGTGTTCGGCTGCTTTGTTTTAAAAAAAGCGGTCAGCAGGTCAGGGAAGTGATTTGGCTCCTAAACAGTGAACGGCTACTGCAGCTACTTCATATATTGAAAATATATGGATAAAATATAAAAACTCAAACTCTAAAACAAACACACTGAACTTTACTGCGTTCAGATTCATTTAAAGTTCCGATGTTTTCATTTCTTTTAGCAGTTGCAGGTAAACAATCCTGAAATCTGGGTGCGCTGCCTCACTTTTAGCACCTCACACTTCATAAAGCATAAAATGTGACCTGAGCAGGTTATATTTTATAATAAACATGTTCACAGACATGATTTAATTTTACAGTAAATTACACCAGTTTTAAGGAGGGATTTTCCCCCCCATTTACCCCTCATTGTTAAATGTTATGTTATGAAGAAAACAACCATAATACACTGAAACAACATTAAACTAAGATAAAACAATGGTTATCGTAATTTTTAACGAGAAAATTCTCACATTTGTGGGTTTGTGTGACTCAAGGTGATGTTTCGTCTGGATAAGATGTGTTTATCTTCTGTGGATTGTAGGGTTTAATGAGACATAACTGTGGTGTGTAATATGTAAAACTCACTGTGTGAGTATCAGTGAATGAATCCTGTGCTCTTTGTTGTACAGCAAAGATTTGGGGACATTCAGCCCAGTTTACATTCAGCTGTGTTTCTGATTCCTGTAGAGACATAAAAGCTGCCCTGTATGATTTTAACAAGCCCCCCCCACTAACCTTCTCACTTTCAGGTGGGACCAGCAATGATGAGTCAGATAATGGGAGTGAAGAGAAAAAGCCAATGCTGCCAGGAAACTCCACTGATGATCAACCAAAAATAACAAATGGTCAGTCTTGTCAAGTGGAGGAGGAGACATGCTGCTGACTTCAGGAGTTTAAGCTCCTGCAGATGATGGTAAGTAGTCTGTAAATGTGGACTTGTGTGGTTGAAACCCTTCAGTCTTACAGTAGAACGTATGTTACAGTTTCTGTGTTGCGTGCATTGAAAACCCCAGGATGCACTTCTCTTCCTGCATATGAATTTGAGGGAGAGCTGAGTTAACTGGGTGGAGATGTTAGAAGTGTGGCTGATTAAATCGTCTGCTGGACTTACTAAGGTTTGAGCAGCTCACTGTAGCCAGTTTTGCCTTTTAAACTCAGGTGTAAATTTGTGTCAGAGTTTTAAAGCTGCTGTTGAGACACAGCCTAGACTGAGACACACAGATCTCACACATGCTGAAAACATCATTTACCAGCAGAATAACATTACTTACAGTCTCAGGATCAGGTAACTGTTTCACTGAAGCGAAATGTTTAGATTTCCCCTCATAGGTTGAAAATATGACGTCTGGCGACTCACTGAGCACCAAACACAAACTCACATTTTGGTTTTGGCAAATTATAAAAAAATATCTCAGAAAGATTATTAATGTTCACAGACGAATTCTACACGTCTCTGTTACACAGTGACAATGTAGCTTCCAGCTACAACTTCTCTGAACATCTGAACAATTCAGTTGAGACTTTAATAAAGTACATAACAAATAGTGAAAATGATTAGTGACACTGACAACTTGAAAACAAAATAGAGCAGCAAATAATGGAATACTAACCATTTTAAAATCTTTTTTTTTAATCTTTGAATTTGCAAAAATACATGGTGAATGTATATTTAGGTATATGGACTTGTTCTGTCCTATGTGCTGACAGACAGATAAACTCTCCCCTTAACATCACCACTCTGAAGACAGTTGGCCCTTGTCCACAGGTTTATTGTTGCAAGGAAAGGTGAAACTAAAATACAGAAAAACAGTATTCAACAATATGTTCCCCTTTAACATTAACCAACAAATGAAATACAATCTTTTGTGTTTTACTGCGACTGGTTAGTGTATAATTATCCCAAATGCAAACAAGGAATCACACTGTATCATGTTCATACACCCATTCTCACGTCTAAACACATGTATAAACTGCCACAAATGGCACCCCAATCAATCCTTAACATAACAACTCTGAAAATGTACAATTTCCAGAAACTAAGGGTCTACGATGATAGATTAAGATAAAAACAATATGTACATACCCACGATGCTATCATAGGCATTTGGATGTGTGCAGATCTCACTGGATTGACCGAGATACAATACAGCTAACTCCCATGAGTTGGACCTGCTCTCACTTCCTGCTATGTGAGAGGCTGCTACATAGCTACTGACACCTAGTGGTCTTTCAGAGAACAACAAACTATTTATATATAATGTAAAACAGCTTTCACAAATGTATTGTGGCAGGACACTCCCCGTCTGATGTGGGTACGCATCACTCGATAATCACGACACGTCATATATCTATGCATCTGGAGGACGAAGAAGTATCACCTCGGTAATAGGCCTAAGGAAAAGTGTAGCCTTACCAGGCTTCATGATCCTAATCTCAACCTGACGCACTTTCTTATCTTTGCTTGGGAAGGTCTGTGTTACTAGTCCAAGGGGCCATTCATTCCTAGGAACCTGGCTGTCCTTGAGGAGAACACTTCCTTTTTCAATGTTTGGTTGAATGGACTGCCACTTCTTGCATGCCTATAAAGTTGGGAGATACTGCTTTCGCCATCTATCCCAGAAAGTGTTGGACAGGTGCTGAACTTGTCGCCACTGGCGCTTGTAGAGGTCTGATTCTCCAAACCCCCCTGCAGGAACAGGAACAACATTCACCTTTTGTGTCAGAAGAGTTGCTGGTGTAAGAATAAATGGATCATCTGGGTCAGTTGTCATGGGAACAAGAGGCCTGGAATTGATAATGGCTGATACTTCGGCCATAAAGGTAACCAGCACTTCATGAGTAAGTGTTCCTTTCAGCTGGAGAAACATGGAGTCCAGAATTCTCCTTGCAAGACCAATCATTCTTTCCCATGTTCCACCGAAATGGGAACGTGTGGTGGATTGAAGGTCCATACACAGCCATGGTCTGATAGGTAAGTCTTCACAGCTGCACCATCAATGTTCGAAGGTATCTTTAAGTCCTTGCAAGCACCAAAGTTTGTGCCACGATCCGAACGGATATGTTTCACTGGCCTGCGCACAGCAAGAAAACGCCTTAGCGCATTGATGAAGCTGGATGTGTCGAGGGATTCTATTACCTCAATATGAACAGCTCTTATACTCAAACATGTGAAGATCACAGCCCACCATTTACTTTGTGAGAGTCCTCCTCTGGTTCGGCGTGAGGAGACACTCCAAGGGCCAAACACATCTAATCCCACATTTGTGAATGGAGGATCTGTGGAAAGACGATCTGCTGGAAGGCTGGCCATTTTTTGGTTGCCAAGTGGAGCTCTTAGCCGTCTACATGTTACACACTGATGTATGATGCTGCTTACTTTCCTCTTCCCACCAACTGTCCATAGTGCTTAAAGTGGACACTAAAGGCCGGATGTCTGGGTCTGAGCTTGGATCAACAAGCTCAAAGCTGCTCTCAGAGGTGTTTGGCTGGGGTGCAGACAGAAATTTGGGTCCACTTAGCCAGTTTGTGTCTTTCAAATGGCTTGCAGTCACGAAACGTGTTGTATGATCTGCAGGATTCTGGTCTGATGGCACATAGTGCCACTGGTCTGGATGGGAGGATCTTCAGATGCGAAGTACCCGATTATTGACGTAGACATAAAAGCGCCTGGTTTCATTACAAATGTAGCCCAGAACGACCTTGCTGTCCGAGTAATACGTTATGGCATCAATCTGAAGGTCTAGTTCTCCTGAGATTAGGTCTGCTAACTCAACAGCAAGCACTGCGGCACAAAGTTCCAATCTCGGTACTGTGTGCTCAGGCCGGGGGGCCAGCTTGGCTTTTCCCATTACAAACCCAATATGACTGTTGCCAGCAACATCTGTGACTTTCATATATATGCCACTGCAGCAATAGCCTTGGTTGATGCATCCAAAAAGACACACAATTCCCTTCTGACAGCCGCTGAAGGTGAAGTTTCAGTATAGGGTCTGGGGATGGAAAGATTGGATAGCTCTGCTAAAGAGGTTCTCCATGACACCCAAACCTCCTCCATTTCTTGGGTTAATGGCACATCCCAGTCACTGTTCTCAACAGTGATTTCTCTAAGAATCTCCCTGCCCTGGATTGTAACTGGGGCTACAAAACCCAAGAGGATCATAGAGGCTGTTGACTGTGGATAAGACACCTCGTCGAGTGGAAGGTTTTATCTCATCAGATACACTGAAGAGGAAGCAGTCTGTTTGGAGGTCCCAATTGAGTCCCAGACTGCGTTGCACTGGCAGCAGATCTACTCCAAGGTCTAGGTCCTTAAGGTCGCTTGCATGATCTTTAGACGGAAAAGCTTTCATGACCTCTTTGCTGTTTGCTGCAATTTTATGCAGCCTCAGGTTTGATCTAGAGAGAGTGTCCTTTTAAGCAAGTCAACAGCAGCTTCCACAGCAGGCATAGACTTCAAACCGTCATCGACATAAAAGTCGCGCATCACAAAGTGCTTAACATCTGGGTCGACATGGAACCCTTCGCCCTGCACTGACTGGTGTAGACAATGAATAACCTCTGCAGGCGAGGGGCTATTACCAAAGACGTGGACCCTCATGCGATAATCCACAATTTCTTTGGAAATGTCATTGTCCAGATACCAGAGAAAACGGAGGAAGTTCCTGTCATCTTCTTTTACCAAAAAACAACAGAACATCTGTTCTATGTCTGCTGTAAAGGCAATTGCTTCTTTTCTGAAGCATATCAGTACACCAATCAGTGTGTTGTTTAGGTCAGGCCCAGTTAACAGTACATCGTTGAGCGATACACCATTGTATTTGGCACTAGAATCGAACACCACTCTGATTTGCTTTGGTTTCTTTGGATGATACACTCCAAACATTGGCAGGTACCATCGTTCTTCTTCCTCCCTGAGAGGAGGAGCCAACTCAACATGGCCATTCTTAAACATCTTGTCCATGAAGCTGAGGAAGTGATCTCTCATTTCAGGCTTCTTGTCAAAGTTGCGCATGAGGGACATAAGACGCTTAAGTGCTTGGGGTCTGTTGTTGGGGAGTCGCTGCCTTGGACACTTAAAGGGTAATGGTGCAATCCAACTGTTGTTTGAATCTTTCTGTAGTCCCTCATCCATTATTTTCATGAAGGATGCATCTTGGATTGAAGGAGCAATCTTAATGTCGTCCTTGGTCCTCTTGAAAACAGTGCGTCCCAGGTGGTCACTCTCACAGGAACAATTCTCCTCAGACAATGGGGGACAGTGATTAAGCACCTGGACATCGCTGTACTTTTCTTTGATACGGAATACATTAGGACATGGATCAAAGAACGTAGGGCGCTGTAGCTCTGTGGTGTTGGTGTAGAAAGTGCTGATTGTCTGGGGTTTGTGGACGCTACCTAGACATACATTGCCTACAATGACCCACCCTAGATCCAGCTTCTGTGCATAAGGCAGGCTGTGTGGACCATTCACCTGTTTGCGGACTTTATGCACTCTAATTATGTCCCGACCTAGAAGAAGCATAATTGGGGCTTGAGGGTCGACTTCTGGGATGAAGTGTGCCACTGACTTGAGGTGTGCATGGTGAAGAGCCACATCAGGAGTTGGTATCTCATCTTGGTTATTAGGAATGTCATTACATTCTATAAGACTAGGCAATGGAATATGGACAGTTCCATCCAGGGATTCCACCTCATAACCACTGGCTCGTCTTCCTACCAATTCCTTTACCCCTGCACATGTTCTCAATGTATAAGGAGCCCCTGGGCTTTGATCATTGAACACCTCGAAGAACTGTGAACGAACTAAGGACCTGTTGCTTTGTTCATCTAGGATCACGTACAGTTTCACTGCTTTGTTTCTGTGACCAGCTGGATATACCTTTACCAGGCATATTTTAGAGCAGGACCGGTCTGTCAGATCTCCACCACAGATCTTTGTGCATTTGCTGGTGACATCAGATTGAGATGTAGCTTTCATATTCTCCCCGCCGTGCTCTGGAGCAGAGTCCACCTTTTCCTTCCATGGTGCAGGTCCAGGGTGAAGCACTACATGGTGTCTTTCACTTTTGCATTCAGAACATTGAATTTTAGTTTTACAGTTCCTAGCAATATGTGATGACGAGGAACAGCATTTAAAGCACACTTTATTCTCCTTTAAATATGCCTTACGATCTTCAATGGGCCTTTCTCTGAATGCACGGCATTCACGTAGAGGGTGTGGTCTTTTATGGGGCACAGCTTGTTGCAATCATCACCCTTGCTTGGATACTCAATAGAATCAAAAATGCCACTGGGCAACACTTCTGTCTTATGGACAGCAACGTCAGGTAGTTTGTTTGACTTCCAAACTGTCTTTTCTGTCCTGGGAACCATATCTGTATGTGACATGAAGTTGAAGCTTGGATCATTTCCAATGCTAGCTTCCTGTTGAACAAAGTCTACAAAGTAGGCAAAGGGAGGGTAGGTAACATGCTTTTGCCGCTTGTAAGATGCACCAACTGATGCCCACTTTTCCTGCAAACGAAACAGGAGCTTCTGTACAATTGGGTTCACTCCTCTTGCTGTGTCGAGGAAGGAGAGACCAGGCAGGTCTCCTTCTTCTATTACCTCTGTTGAGCCATAGATTTGTTCAAGCCTGTCCCATGTCATAGCCAACCCTGCTTCTAGATGGTTGATATGTATTGCCCTTATCTGTTCAACATATCCTGCTGACTCCTTGCCTAGCCATTTTAGCAGAAGGTCCATCTCCTCACTTGGTGTTAGATTTAATCCACTTGTAGCTGACTGAAATGAACGTTTCCAGGCTCTGTAGTTCTGAGGTTTATCATTAAACTGAAGTAAACTTGTAGCTACAACTTCACGTCGAGCAAGGTATCTCATAAAGTCATGAACATACGAGCTGCCATCACCGGAGTTTGGGCCCATAGGGTAGGATGAAGGAGTGGGACAATTTTCATCTTTTGAAGGTGTGAAATGTTGCACTGAAGAAGCATGGTTGCTCTTGAACCTAACTTTATGTGGTACATAGTGACCTTCATCTTCACAGGTGTAAGGCTGTTGTGAGGTAAAACCAATGGTTTGACTGGGAAGCAGTGTTGATTTGGTCTGGAACAAATGGTTTGGCTTCAGGTTTAAGATGAGAAGATGGAACACTGTAGCTAGAACTTGGCTCTGTTTTTGGTAAGAGACCATCCCCATCTTGCTGGAACTCTTTCTCTTGTACTTGGGCTTGCTTGACAACATATTGCTCTGTTCGCTGTGCAGCATCCAAGGGAACAGAATTTAAACTTAACCTGCAGCCAAGTTTCTCCATATTGAAATCAGCTGCAGCTTCGAGTGCTTCTGCTTCGGCAATGGCAGCAGCAGTCTCTTTCTTGTAATTTAGCATTTCCATAGATGCTTCCAACTTAGCCTTTTCCACTTTTAGGCTAAGTTCCTCTTCAGCAAAGGAAAGACATGCTTTTGCTGCTTCTGCTCTCGCTCATGCTCTGGCTGCAGCAGACCCGGTTGATGATGTACTAAATCGTACTGAGGAACACGAAGCACGAGAGCGTGTCTTTAAGGAAAAGGTTTCCTCCATCTTGGCACAGTTTAGTATATCTCTGTTTAGGCCAACTCTGACAGTCGTTCACTGGTTGTGTGAAGACGTTACTGTTATCTGCCAGTCTATACTGCGTTATCCTATGCCCTCCAGAAAGACGTGGTTTCACTGTTCTGTCCTATGTGCTGACAGACAGATAAACTCTCTCCTTAACATCACCACTCTGAAGACAGTTGGCCCTTGTCCACAGGTTTATTGTTGCAAGGAAAGGTGAAACTAAAATACAGAAAAACAGTATTCAACAATATGTTCCCCTTTAACATTAACCAACAAATGAAATACAATCTTTTGTGTTTTACTGCGACTGGTTAGTGTATAATTATCCCAAATGCAAACAAGGAATCACACTGTATCATGTTCATACACCCATTCTCACGTCTAAACACATGTATAAACTGCCACAAATGGCACCCCAATCAATCCTTAACATAACAACTCTGAAAATGTACAATTTAGGGTCTACGATGATAGATTAAGATAAAAACAATATGTACATACCCACGATGCTATCATAGGCATTTGGATGTGTGCAGATCTCACTGGATTGACCGAGATACAATACAGCTAACTCCCATGAGTTGGACCTGCTCTCACTTCCTGCTATGTGAGAGGCTGCTACATAGCTACTGACACCTAGTGGTCTTTCAGAGAACAACAAACTATTTATATATAATGTAAAACAGCTTTCACAAATGTATTGTGGCAGGACAGGACTGTTCTTATTGTTTTTTAGTGAGCTCAAACTTCTTTGTGAATAAAGACAGTTATACTTTATTAATGTGTATAATATATTCAGTGACTCCTTAATGTTTTAATATATCTTTAATTTACCTTTGTTTAATTTAATGACACTGAACCTGACTGTTATAACCCACTTAAGTACTGACAAAAATCTAAAGGCCTAAATTAATAAGCCTTACTAAGTAATTATCATTTTAAATATAGCACAATTTTATGGTCCCAAACTGTAAATTACACACACAGACTACAATGAAATATGGTCACACCTGAAAAACTCAAAACTATCAGGACGTCACCTACAAGAGTGAGAGCAGCATCACCATCAGCCCAGTTAGGTCTGAAATGGAAGCTAACAAAGATAAAATGAGATCAGTTATGTTGTAAATCTTCTGTTTATTGATGTCACACTGGCATTATTTTGTTTTCAAGTTAATTGATTTCTGTCTACCCCTGACCCTCCCTCTAGGTGACGGTGGGGATTTGTCTGGCCTCTCCATCTTCTAACATGTACATCGTAACAGGTGGATGGATGTACAGTGAATTCAAAGGCACTGATTGTATTCAAAGAAGATATGGACCTTATTCTGGCCTCTCTCGACCTACTATACACTGAAATACCAAGATCAAGTTTACGCAGAGGAGCAAACTCTCCAAAGGGCTTGTTACTATTTACTATTTAGCATGTGCAGCAGTGAAGCTAGTGATTAAGGGACCCTTATTAATCCCACAGCGGGGAAATGTCACTCATTTGGATGTACAGTGGATTCATGGCACTGAATGTCTGAAAAGAAGATGCGGACCTTATTCTGACCTCTCTTGGCCCACTGGACGCTGAAATGCCAGTGTAAGGACTACACAGCAGTGCGTACTTTACAAAAGGCCTCAGTTATGTTTTTTTTTTAAGACCAATCAAAACCTTTCAGAATGTGTGGCATTGAGGCTCCTGATGGGGTGCCAAGAAAAACACAGTTGCTGAATGTGACCTCAGAGACATTGGAGGTCACTTTTCTTGAGACAGTTAGAGAACTTGGTGGATCTGCCTGCGTCCATTGTGCAGATATGGGGACTAAACTCAGCATCAGGATATTGTTGTTCCCTCAGGAACATTCCGTAGTGATGATCCACAACTTGGAGATATAAGGTTCGTCTGTCTCTACAGCACACTGACAAATTAAAAAAGGGTTCGTAAAATAAGATGGCAAAGTGTTTAAAAGAGTGATGCCACAGAAGAATCTAAGGAACCCTTCAGTTCATGGTTATTTGAAGCAGTAGTTCTCAAAGCAGCCCAGATGATCCACATTTTTGCTCCAGCCCAACCCGCTGCAAACTCGGTCCCTGAGGACCAGTTTGAGAACCACTGCTTTAAGGAACCATTTCTCTAAATGAGATGTTCAAGTCCAAAGAACCTTTTTAACCCATTTTCACAGCAGCTATAAAATGTAAAATATAACTTCATTAAACTGTAAACACAAATCTCATCCAGTGGAAGTGGTTCTTTGATGGCAATGCTCTAGAGCAGGGGTTCTTAACCCGCGGGTTGCAGTGTGGTGAGAGTGGTGCTACACAACATATGCTGTATCAAACACAGAGAAAAATTAATGTTGACTCCTGAGTGGCTCCAAGGGTCTTTATTGCCTGCTGACCTTTAAGTATTTGTGGTTACCAAATACTATACCAGACTAAAGATCTGAGGTTTGTGGTAAAATGCTTACTAAGGAATGCAGGTCCAGTACGTGAGTAGACTTGGTATCTAATTATTCTTCTCTAATTTCTTGGTGTGTGGGATTTTGGGGGCAGGGGGCTGGAGAGCTGGGTGGGCAGATTGGCAATGCAGGAGTTCGGAAATAGTTTCAACCCCAAAAGAGGGCCACAGTGTGAAGAAGGTTAAGAACCCCTGCTCTAGAGAACCCTTTTAGCATATTTACTTTTAAGAACAGAGAACACAGAACTTTCCTGAGACAAGAATGTGTGGCTATCTGACGCTTCCACTGATGGGGTCTTAAAACTGGATTAAAAATGAATCTATCGCTCTGAGCTGATTGGTGTTTGAAACTGGGATTTCCTGTGTGACCTGATGTCACGCAGTCCAACGCTTTCAGGAATGTTTATATCATCAGTGCAAACTGACAGGCAATTGAGCCCTTCAGGTTATTCATGCTGTTTGTCCTAAAAAGTGAAAGGATACAAAAAATGAATTTTCTTCTCTCGCTCTTTTTTTCTCTCTCTTTCTGTTTCTCTCTCACTCATCATCTAATCTCTCTCTTAAAATTCCAAGTCAGTTTTAAAGTTTTAATTTCCAGCTCTTTTTCAGCACTCAACAGTCAGATACATCAGCATTATTGTATATACATTCTTCAGAGTCTTGCTGAATCCAGAAAACGTGCATTTGCATTTGTTTATTTGGACTGTGTATTTATGTCTTTTGAGTATGTTTTTACACTGTAAATAAAGAAGTAAATAAGTCTTGTCCAAGGTTTTCAAGATTCTTCCACTTCCATTTCAACATTTAAACTGAATAAAGAATTTAAATCTCTGAAGTTTAGCTTAAATGTTTGTTATAAATGTCTTATAACAAAGCTGCTGTTCAGCATGAGCTTTTCAGCATTTCATGATCGTCTGCTTTTGACCTCTTGAACATTTTCATTCCACCTCTGACATGAGATACAGCCAGTTCATCTTTCCCCAGCAGGATCTTTCTTCTGTTATTCCAGGTAAGCTCACCTTAGTGCATCAGCACTATTCCACACCTGGATGTATCAGACTTGAACTTAACACTTCTTCATCTGCGAAGCACCCTTACAGCTCAGTGTAGTCGTTTTAAAGATGTCTTCTAGTGTTGTAATCACTTTAAATGTTTCTGTTGTAAACATCATGGTGGAATTCCATCTGGGATAACTCAGATGATGATGAGATTCCAAAAATGTTAGCACAGGAAACACAGGAAGCACAGGAAAGAGTAACAGGAACTTCCTTTTGGTGTATTTGGTACAGTAATCTGTATTTGCTCATAGCTAAGTTACCTAAACCTGTGCTGCAACCCAGCACTGAAACAGACACATACCTGAGCCCTGAACTGAGCAGATGGGTGTTATTACAAAGCAAACAACCAGCTAAATGTCTCAGTGGTATGGTGAATATAGATATGCTAAAAGTGATTTGTATCTCTTAAAATAAAGCAGAAAATAAAAGTTCTTTAGAGTGATTCCCTACAGGATCCACTTTTGGTTCCATAAAGAAAAACTTTCAACTGAAAAAACATTTTTACTGAATAAGACACGGACGAGCTATATAAAAAGTTCTATACCAATTAAAGTTTTTTTTTTTCCCACAACTGTACATCCTGGTCAAAAACATTCAGGAAACTTTATTGTTAATGTGCATGATGAGTCCATAAGACCTCAAGCTACCCTGCTTGGACTGTACACCTCAGGCTTGACTGCAGGGTCAATCTGTATGTAGTGCTGCCCAGTAAGCAGCGTAATTAAAAAAAAATAGGTTTCAGGGTGTGTATATGCTGTCTGACCTCATTCTATCCCAACATTTCCAACAGTCTTTTTATCATGCCTGCCTATAACAAGTTGCCTCTTTCTGGTTTCTAACTCAGTCCTATTTTGATGCTCCTTGAGTTCACGAGACTGATTTATTGTGTAATGGCTCCATCTTGTGGCTTGAATATGCAACGATCCTGTAGTGCTGTCGGAGGCAAATACAGCCTAACAAGAAATGAAAACAATAAAATGTAAATGCAAACCTCTTTTTGCCATTTCTTTTAACAAACATCTATATAATTTGAAAATTATATGAAATACCTACATTTGCAATTTCGTCTTTCACATATGCACAAGTCATTTGTGACAAAAATAAAAATAAATGTAAAGCAGCTGTTTGTCATTTGATTTAGTCGTTATTCTGGTTTTTCATGGCCAAATCTAAAATGAAAAAGCTGACAGAGAAAATAAAATCCAAGCTTCTCTTTGGCTTTGGCTTTTCTTCATGAAGTGCAGAATCCGAGTCAAACTGAAATCAGACTGCAGTGTTCAGGCTCTCATCTCTCTTTTACAGCAACCGGCTGCAGATCTGACAGAATGAAAATGAAAATGCAAAACTGATAAATCAACAGCAAAGTGACAGATTGTGACTCAGTTTCCGGCGCCTACGCGCTTAAAGTGTCACCAGAGCCATTTTATGAGGAGCATGGCCGCTTCCTATTCCCCCCGTTATATCAAAAACAGGACCGCTGACGTCATGGACGTACATGAGGCACTCCTATAACTCGAGTTTAAAAGCTCTTAAAAATATAACAGCAGTGTTAAAATGTTTTATGCTGCTCTGTGTTCAGGAAATGAATGAATTCTTTTACATTAAAATGTTTCAGCATTTATAAACTATGATTTTGCTCAAATGCTCCATATTAACCCCCTCATTTTGGAGCGCCCTCTAGCTTTTGAGAAACCCGGAAGACATTACAGAGCGGTAATTTTCCTCTCTACAAGTTCTCTGGTCGTCCCTCGTCCGCTTTTTCTTTTTGGTTTATTTACCTCTTCTTCGACGATGCAGACGGTGGCTAAATGTGAGTATGATCCATACAGGTTCAGTTTTGGCGCTGCTGGGTTTGAGTTTTCTTGAGTTTTCTGTCTGTTTATTTTGATGGAAGTTTGAGAAGTTAGTTTCGCTTTCAGACTTCTGAATATAAGGTAACCTATAGATCACTGTGTCAGTTATTCTCTATATAATGTTGATTAATGTCAGTAAATCAGAGCGGTTAAACTGATTCAGTGTCTGATTAAACTGCAGTATTAACTATTTACTAAAGGCCGGTTCTGCTCAGCTCGGTTCAGTTCAGTTCAGCTCAGCTCAGCTCGGTTCAGCTCAGCTCGGTTCAGCTCAGCTCAGCTCGGTTCAGTTCAGTTTGTATTGAAATGTTTATGGTCATTAAAGGCCTCAACTGGTGAATGTCCAGCTTTGATTAATCACCTAACTGAGGATTCTCCAGAGTACAGACGGTGTAACACTGTGTGGAGTATAAACAGAATAATATCTGGTAACATATGAACGAATGGCTGAACGGAAATGGAGGCCTTGAACAGAGAAAACTAATCTGAGGTTTTTGTTTTGGGGCGAGTGAAGCTCAGGAGAGCTGAGGAAGTCTGTAGACTGAGGAATGTGCGCTGCTGTTGAGAGATTAATTCCCAAATTCCAGTATGAAGAAGGAAACTGGTATCTGCGACAGAAGCCTGGTCAGATCTCAGTGCTCTAAGTCTAGTTTACCCTGTTCACTCTATTTACACCAGTGTTTTAAAAAAGAGGCGATGGTGACAGTGTTCTGGAGGTGATGGTGACAGTGTTCTGGAGGTGATGGTGACAGTGTTTTAGAGGTGATGGTGACAGTGTTCTGGAGGTGGTGGTGACAGTGTTCTGGAGGTGATGGTGACAGTGTTCTAGAGGTGATGGTGACAGTGTTTTAGAGGTGATGGTGACAGTGTTCTGGAGGTGGTGGTGACAGTGTTCTGGAGGTGATGGTGACAGTGTTCTGGAGGTGGTGGTGACAGTGTTCTGGAGGTGATGGTGACAGTGTTTTAGAGGCGATGGTGACAGTGTTCTGGAGGTGATGGTGACAGTGTTTTAGAGGTGATGGTGACAGTGTTCTGGAGGTGATGGTGACAGTGTTCTGGAGGTGATGGTGACAGTGTTCTAGAGGTGATGGTGACAGTGTTTTAGAGGTGATGGTGACAGTGTTCTGGAGGTGGTGGTGACAGTGTTCTGGAGGTGATGGTGACAGTGTTCTGGAGGTGGTGGTGACAGTGTTCTGGAGGTGGTGGTGACAGTGTTCTGGAGGTGATGGTGACAGTGTTCTGGAGGTGATGGTGACAGTGTTCTAGAGGCGATGGTGACAGTGCTCTGGAGGTGGTGGTGACAGTGTTCTGGAGGTGATGGTGACAGTGTTTTAGAGGCGATGGTGACAGTGCTCTGGAGGTGGAGGTGACTGTTCTGGAGGTGATGGTGACAGTGTTCTGGAGGTGGTGGTGACAGTGTTCTGGAGGTGATGGTGACAGTGTTCTGGAGGTGGTGATGACAGTGTTCTGGAGGTGATGGTGACAGTGTTCTAGAGGTGGTGGTGACAGTGTTCTGGAGGTGATGGTGACAGTGTTCTGGAGGTGGTGGTGACAGTGTTCTGGAGGTGATGGTGACAGTGTTCTGGAGGTGGTGGTGACAGTGTTCTGGAGGTGATGGTGACAGTGTTCTAGAGGTGATGGTGACAGTGTTCTGGAGGTGGTGATGACAGTGTTCTAGAGGTGGTGGTGACAGTGTTCTAGAGGTGGTGGTGACAGTATTCTGGAGGTGATGGTGACAGTGTTCTAGAGGTGGTGGTGACAGTGTTCTGGAGGTGATGGTGACAGTGTTCTGGAGGTGGTGGTGACAGTGTTCTGGAGGTGGTGGTGACAGTGTTCTAGAGGTGGTGGTGACAGTGTTCTGGAGGTGGTGGTGACAGTGTTCTGGAGGTGATGGTGACAGTGTTCTGGAGGTGGTGGTGACAGTGTTCTGGAGGTGATGGTGACAGTGTTCTGGAGGTGATGGTGACAGTGTTCTGGAGGTGGTGGTGACAGTGTTCTGGAGGTGATGGTGACAGTGTAGGAATGTATAGAGGTGATGCACAGAAATAGACTAAGTTGTATTTGTTGTTTGACTAACTGAATCCTCCACTATGAGACTGTGATCTATGAACTACAAGCACTGTTCACACTTTGGTATCAGCAGATACTGGATATTAAAAGAGCCTTGAAAGAAAATCAGATCTTGATCAGGACACCTGTATTTTATATGCTTGAGGTAAATCATGATTCAATTTAGGTGTCAGCAGAGTATGAAAGTACAAAAAATGAAGTTATACTGTATACTGTAAATTCCTTCATATTAATTACTGTCTCTGTTTATTGTAGTGAAATCATTGTTTAATATCCAGTCTTTTTATTTCTCCACAGATGAACACTCTCTGTGTTACCTCTACACTGTCCAGTCTAAAAGCTCTTCAGACAGAGTCTCTGAGTTCAGTGCAGTGACTCTGCTGGATGACAGACAGATTGACTCCTACAGCAGTACAGACGGCATCAGGACTCCTAAACAGGACTGGATGAAGGAGATGAAGGAGAGTGAGTGGAAAGATAGCATCGAAAAGCTGAAGTCTGATAAACAACAGCTAAAAAAGGACCTCGACAAACACATGAAGGCCTTCAAACACAAAGAGTCAGGTGAGGAAAAGCTTTTGTCTTTTTTTTTTTATTTCATGTCTTCATGCAGAGGAAGGTGGTCGATTAACGATTATATTTGGCTTTTAATCTTCATACAGATTATGTTCACTGAAAGGACAGTTTCATGTGTATATATAGTGTAACTGTCATTACAGATGTAATAATTTTTTATATTGACTGTAAACTATCATGTGAGATTAAATGTCATGACATCAAACATTATAACATCTATAATGACAGGTGTTGTTAATGGCAACATTTTACTGACCATAATCTGTCACAAAAACTCATGACAGCAGATGAAATGTGCTGTGACTTGGTAGCATGATCATGTCAGTCTTATGTAGCAGAGTTCAAGTAATGTGTTCCCAAAAATGTTTTCCAGTTTTTCACTGAGATGAGATCTATAGGCTGATGGTGATACATAACCATTTATAAATGCAGAGACTGGGTCTGTCTGGATTAGCATTACAGAGAAATGTAAGATTTACAAACGCAGTAAAAAGGTATAAAGTGTTTTTTGAGTGATGTAAAACCCTTTTAACTTTGACTTTATACCATATGGGCATATGAGAGCAGTTTTACCCTCACTTCTCCAGCTACATGTTTTCTTCAGAACAGAATATTTTATTACTAAATTCCATTACTAGTTTGTAAATCTCTTAATGGTGCAGCACCTTCATACATCTCTGACTGTCTAATAAACTCTGCTTCAAGTCATGTTTCAATATCATTCTCCAGATTTCACATATAAAACTTAAAAAAGTGCCAATAAGCAGCTTTTTGTGTTTATGCACCAAAGATCTGGAATGTGTTATCAGTGAATATTAATCAGGCTTCATCTGTCACTGATTTAAAAAAGTTAACCCCTTAAATGGCCAATGCCCACCAGCAGGTCCAAAGTTTGATAACACACTTCTATAGCCTAAGAATAGCTTAGCCAGTTTGAATTGAAGTCCCTGTAGTTACTGAATAATAAGCCTCTTTTAAGGGGTTAAAAACATCCTTTACTTCAGGATTTAATTAGCTTTTATTGTTCCCACTTTTTGTTCTACAACATTTTTAGATGCTTTTAATAGTTGTACTTGTATTCTGGTTTTAATGTCTTTAATTGTTCTCTGCTTTTATTTATTGCATCTCAGTTTGCTGATTTTATGTGACTGCCACCTGTTTCTTTTCTTTCTCTGTCAATTTCAGTTCACATTGCAAAGCTTTTGAGCTTTGAGCTGCATTTTAAATGTAAACAATGAAGTTTATTATTATTAATATAAATATGATCACGTCCTCACCCTCTGAGTGGAGGTTTTAAAGGTGATGATTTGTGAAGTTTCCTCTGCTGTCCTCTTGTGCCTCTCCTCTGCACAGCCTTTACTGAACTGGGCTTTAATTTATTACAACACAACTCACACGATATCACTGTGTTTTCTCCTGTGTCCACTTCAGAGTTAAAAAATTATATTATCAAAAATTATCTCAAAAATTATATTATTATTGTTACTCTTATTATTGTTATTACAATACAATAATACAAGTTGGGACGCTGTGCAGAAAGTAAATAAAAATAGGATGTAATGATACAAATCCTGTAAACCATATTTTTAAAGGGAAATACTACAAAGGCAACATATCAAATGTTGAAACTGAGACATGATGTTGTTTTTTGAAAAATATTTGCCTATTTTGAATTTGATGTCAACAATACGTTCCAAAAAAGTTGGGACGGGGCCCTGTTTATCACTGTGTTTCATCACCTCTTCCTTTATCAACACTCTGCAAGTGTTTTGGAACTGAGGAGACACTGCTGTAGAAAGTGAAATGTCACTTTAGAAAGTGAAATGTTTTCCTGTTCTTGTTTGATATAGGATTTCAGCTGATCATCAGTTCAGAGTGTCCTTTGTAGTACTTTTCATTTTATAAGGCACCAAATGTTTTCAGTGGTGACAGGTCTGGACTGGAGGCAGGTCAGTTTAATATCCAGACTCTTTCAATACGGATGCTGCTGTAATACATGCAGAATGTAGTTTGACATTGTCTGGCTGAAATAATCAAGGCCTTCCCTGAAAAAGATGTTGTCTGGATGGCAGCATATGTTGCTAAAACATATACAGTATATATCGTTCAGCATTAATAGTGCCTTCACAGTTGTGCACATCACCCATGCTATGCGCACTAATGCCCCACTATACCATCATGAATACTGGCTTTTGAACTGTGCCCTGATAACAAGCTGAGTGGTCTTTAGTCCGGAGGACACAGTGTCCATGATGTCCAAAAAGCATTTCAAATGTTGAAGGACACTTTTCCACTTCCCCTCAGTCCATTTTAAATGAGCTCAGGCCCAGAGAAGGTGGCAGCGTTTCTGGATCCTGTTTATATATGTTTTTTTCTTTGTGTTTTAGAGTTTTAACTTGCATTTATGGATGCAGTGAAGAACTGTGTTCACAGACAGTGGTTTCTGAGCCCATGCAGTGATTTTTAATGCAGTACTGTCTGCGGGCCCAAAGATCACAGCCAGCAAATACTGGTCTTTAGCCTTGTCCCTTACATAGAGAGATTTCCCCAGATTCTCTGAATCTTTTAATGATATTATGTACTGTAGATGATGAAAAACAGAAGTTCTTTGCTGTTTTATGTTGAGAATAGAGATGAAACGGTTACCGGTTTCACGGTAAACCGCGGTAAAATTAATGACGGTTAGTAGTACCGTTTGAACTTTACAGTATCGTTAAAACCGCGGTCGATTACCGCGGTGTGAAAAACGCGGAGATTCTGAGATATTTCAGCCTTCTAAGAAGACCAAGTCTGACGCTTGGTCATGTTTTGGGTTTTATAAGAATGCAGAAGGAAAGTTAATTGAAGATTAACTGTCTGCAGAACAGGCCGAAAGAAAATAGCGGCGAAAGGGGGCAACACATCAAACCTTACCAGTCATCTTCGCGACCACCACCCGCTACCTGCAAGAATGCAAGGTTAACTTTAACGAAGAAGTCTGTGGACTTCGAAATAGAAGAAGTGTTGTGGTTTGTGTGGTTTAACTTTTGCTTATGGTTCGTTAATAATGTTAAACGAAGCTTTTAGCGTCAAAAAAAATGAAAAAAAAAAAGAAAAAACAATCGGTGAATCAGCTGTGAATCGAAATTAAAGCTTGAAACACATATTTCTGTGGAGCAGCGTCTCCAAATTGAGCTCTGAGTTAACTCACACAAGCTCCGGAACGAGACTGCAAAAGTTCAATCTGCACAGCTCCCCTTTCTCGTCTAGCTTGCAGTGTTTACTGTCTGAGAGGAGAGTAACACCGTCTCAAATCACTCAATGTCCCCTACAGAGGGCGCTACTGTTCAAACAAACACGATCATCATTAACAAGCAGCTGAGCTTTAAATGGGGAATTTGTAACCTGTTGTTAATGTTGATTATAGATGACTTAGTCGAACGTTTCCTGCACTCTTTGGGTGAAGGATTTGCTATTTCATGATCCACGAAGTGCACTACGTAGGGAAGATAGTGTGCTTTGAGATGGGACCTCACGCGAGTAAACGCTGTGCTGATTTTGGGAAAAGCAGAGTTTCAGAGATTAAACTGTAGGAGTGTTTCTGCTGCAGCTCAGATGCGCGTTAATTTTAAGTTATGTTTTAGTTTTAAATGCTTTTAGAGAAGCAGCTCCACAGCTGAAGACATACTGTGTGAGTTCTACACTGTCTGCAGCTCACAGCGCGGTCACGCAGTTCCTCTGTGATTTTGGCTGTTTTTCCTGGTGCGCTGTGTTGATTAGGGGTTCAGCGCCACAACGGTACAATAATGCTGCAGCTGCAGTTCGGACAGAAATCCCCCGAGTGCAGCACTTCTAAGAAGTAGTAATTTTCCATTAAGACCCACCTCAGAGTTGGTCCAGATTTAATTCTCTATGCAGGGAAATCCCTCGTTATTGTAATTATTACTACTACTACTACTAATAATAATAATTACAACAGTAATAATAATAATAATAAGAATAGTAATAATAATAATAACAGTAATAATAATACATTTGCTGTTCTTTTGTTTACAGAGTATTACAAGTATTGTAAGTAATACAAAAGTAATACTAAAATGTATTGACCTTATTTTTTAATGTTTATGCAAACAAAAAGTGCATATTGCTTCCAATTCTATTTGTGTTAATATAAAAGTTGGTGAAACGAGTTTCAGTTTGTGTATCAGTATTTATTTATTTATTTATTTTACTTTTCAGCACATTTGAACAATATCGTGATAATACCAATAATCGTGATAATTTTGGTCATGATAATCGTGATATGAAATTTTAATATCGTTTCATCTCTAGTTGAGAAATGTTATTCTTGAATTGTTGCACTATTTGATGGTGCAGTCTTCCACAGAGTGGTGAACCCTCCTCATCTTTACTTCTGAAAGACTCCGCCTCTCTGAGATGCTCTTTTATACCCAATCATGTTACTGACCTGTTGCCAATCAACCACCAGGTGTTTTTTAGCATTACACAACTTTACCTGCCTTTTGTTGCACCTGTACCAACTTTTTTGGAACATGTTGTTGGCATCAAATTCAAAATGGGAATATATTTTTTAAAAAACAAAATTCTTAGTTTTGACATTGGATAAGTTGTCTTTGTAATTCATTTTAAATTAAATATACAGTTTAAATGATTTGCGCATTATAGTATTTTGTTTTTATTTACATTTTGTGCAGCATCCCAACTGTTTTGGAAATTGGGTTGTATTATTAGTCCATTTGTTTATAAACACTTTGTGGAAATTAAAAAAATGAAAGATAAATCAAAGGAAAACTGTCTCACAGAGATAATGCTGTTCATTTCTTTGCTCATTATCTATGAGATTATAGGCGTGTTCACAGACAGATAATCTGTATATAGCTTTGCTCACATGCATCATTCTTTATGTTTCAGATGGTCACATTCTGCAGTCGAGAGTTGGCTGTGAGGGTGAAAAACATTCGGACGGCTCAGTTTCACTGTTAAACTGCACTAATGAATATGGCTACGATGGACAGACTACAATCTCTTATAACTGGACCTCGAGTAAATGGTCAACCTCAGTTATTCAGGCTAAAGCATTGGCGGAGGAGTGGAACGCTGGACGTGGTCCAAACGCTGTTCAGAGATGTGAAGAGTGTGATCACTGGCTGAAGATTTATTCAAAATACAACACCACTGAAACCAAACAGAGTGAGTATTTAGAAACTTGCCCTGATCAGAGTAATAATTTATTTATTATTATTTTTAGCTGTAGAGGTATAGTTATTATGCATTATGTAGGCCTACACAGAGTGAAGTGGTAAAGGGTAATTCCACTGATTTTTTTCTAAGTTCTTCCATATTGAGATGTAAACACAGTTTTTATGTGGAATGTTGATGATGGGAAAATAGTGATGAATCTGAAAATCTGACCATTTTGTCTCACAACACCCTGCATGTATCCCTCCACCATTTTTTTCTCTTTTTTTCTCTCCAGCTCAAATGGATGTTCATGTGTTTGTGACAAAACGTGTAACTGATTTGAGGAAGGTGAACCTGACCTGCATGGGCACAGGCTTCTACCCCAAAGACGTGAAGATGAGTGTGAGGCAGTTCACCACTTCACTGCCTGAACATCTACTAAGATCTTCAGGAGTCAGACCCAATGAAGATGGAACTTACCAGCTGAGGAAGAGTGTGGAAATAAATGAGGACGATGCAGCAAATTACAACTGTTATATGAATCACAGCTCCCTCGACACACCAGTATTTAAACAGTGGGGTAATTATATCTGTTTGTTGATATTTGTTGCTGATTGAAAGCCAGTTTGAGGAGATTCTAGGCTTCTGAAGTTACTGCAGTTATTAGTGTAATGTAGTTGTTATCTTTGTTCAACAGCAGTAGAATATTAGATTTACAGAAACCAAAAATCAGCAAAAAATACATTTAATGCGTTAAACTTCTGAACATTTGTCTGATTTAATCAACATCAGTATGGATCATTCTAGCGAACTGGTGATGTTTCAGACTTTTAACGGACTTGGACTTCAGACTAAAATCCTTTTGCTTTGAGTGACCCTGTACTGATTTATTCTATTAAAATAAATGATTGGACATTTCATTTTGTCACTACCAAAACGCTCGTAACTCTACCCAAATTTTACCAAATGTTTCAGTGGTGACTGTTTCAGTAACAATTTTAGCTCATTTAGATCAGACATGAAAACCGCAGCCAGTGCATGACCAGCAAACACAGCTTTGAACAGCTGTTCATGCATAAAATCATCAAAACACAAGAAGTTTACTTGAAGAGAGATTTCATTTTTTTTAAATGATTCAGTCACTAAGATGTAATCAGAGTGATTCAGAGTGGTTTGGTGTGAAATGGTTCAGGTGTCTTTACAGTGGTGGTGATTGGAACCAGGGGTCGCCATGACTACAACACAGATATAGACATTTTATTTACTATCCAAACCACCAGTGAACCTACACGAGTCTTCTGAGTTTATATGGAATGTAGATGATGGAAAATAGTGGAAAATCTGAAATAATACATTTTCTTGGGACACTATTTTGCCTCACAACACTCTGCATGTGTCCCTCCACCATGAACGAGTGTTTGTAGAAGCAGTCTGCAGGCCTAGGTGCTTGGTTTTATACACCTGTGGCCATGGAAGTAACTGAAACACCTGAATTCAATGATTTGGATAAGTGAGTGAATACTTTTAGCAATATAGTGTAATTCTCTAGAATAGTCAATATCCAGAATTACTTCCCCAAGGAAATAATAAAAAACTCAAATTTGAAAGGCATTTTGAAGTTGCTCCTGAAAATGTGTCAAATGAATGAGTTGTTTATCAGCAGTTGTCAGCAGTGCTTCCTATGTTCTATAGCTGCACTCTGTACTATCTGGTCTGCAGTGCTGAGAGTGATAGCCTTTAGCTGACTGCAGTTATCTTTCTGTGCTTCTTTAGAACCTCTTAGAACCTCTGACAGAGCCCTCTGGTCGAGGGTACAGTTCAGACATCTCATAGTTCTCAAATATGAGAAAGATCAGAGAAAGAAGCCTGTTTGTTTATCAGAAATCCTAATGTGTTATTTTTTTTTACACTTTCGGTTTTTTTTAAATTGCACCCGTTCTTACTCAGGATCTGTTTCAAATAGAAGTCAATTATAAACAACATAAAATAAAATAATCATACATCAGCTCTTGAAATAAAGCAGCAGACTTACAGTAGGTCTTACAGTATGTCTTCTATTAGATTACACTAGATCCTGAGCTCTGATGTTGTAATGGTGGAAGTATAGAGATCCAAACTCACACAGATTCACTTGAAGGTATCTGTTTCCACAGGATGAAGCTTTTCTGGAATGATAGGTGAATATCAGTCATTTCAGTCAAATGGTGATTTTTTTTTTTTTTGTGTACAGATGAAAAATGCAGTAACTGCCATTATGGTCTGAGTGGAGCATGGATTGTAGGAGTGACTGTAGGAGTGGTGGCTCTGCTGGCTGTGCTGGGTGGGATCATCTATGTTTGTATAAAGAAGAGGAAAAGTAGAGGTGAGTATAGACTGTATCAGTACAGACTCTGTTTAAAGTGGAAACAGACGTTTTTAAAACATTATGTACTTTGCCTAAAGAACATCTCCAGAGTTTTACTAGATTAATGTTGTCACTGATGTTCTTAAACTCAGTGGCAGCTTTAGAGGTGAAAGTATCATAACTCTGAACCTGATCTCTTGCGCGAATGCATATCAGGGGAATAACTGCTTGTTGAACGCTTGTAAGTTTCTAGTACCCATCGAGTGGCCCAGCTGCACATGTGCATGTCATTAGTGTAGTCGCTTCAGTTTTATAATGTATTATTGTATTTCACTGTTAATTTAGTCTAACTGTGTTATTTAGGGCTGCAACAAATATTTGATCACATTTGATAATTAAAATAATTGAATATAAAAACTCAGCTTGAAGGGACTTTTACCTGTTGTTATGTTTTATCTGTAAACAGTGAGTCACCAGTAGCAGCGCATCTAGAGAGAGTGAGATAATCTGCCTGCAGGTCACACAGAAACAGTGATTTATAGCTAGACTTTGTTCATGTCAGTCAATTGGTCCTTTGCTGTCGAAGCCATGGTGATATCTCAGCAGTGGTCAGAGGTAGAGCTGTGGAGACTCTGGTTAGCAAGCCGTCCATCTAGAGTGGAAAGAATCTTAAAACAGAACCGGCAGTTAAGACAGAGACGGCTGAGTTTAGCACACACTCGGGAACAAATTGGTAGTGTGAGACACTAAGTGTAAATGTGTTACGATAGTCCTGCTGAATCTTATGAACGTCTGCAACAATTTACCTTTTATTCTTTTTGAAATACATTCAGGTTTTGAATGTATATTTGGGTTTATGGTTCAGATTTTGATAACAAATACATTTTTTACTTTCAGGTAAAAAGACAGTCATCCTCAATCTATACCTTAAATGGTAATAAAATAAATAAAAATAAATGAATAGTTCAACACTGTGAGTTCAGGTGGTTAACCAGTTGGGTATCAAATGTTCTCTGCATCACTGCAACAAAACCGGTGAACTCAATATGTTTATACATTTAATAAATTAATAAAAATATTCATTTAAATAACATCCTTTTTTTAACCTCTAATTCAAGGAGGTGAAGGAAATACACAACCTGAGCCTGCATGTGTTACTGTCATCTCACACTTCAGAGCATAATGTGTTCAGTGATACAGAATCAGTCTGAAGTTCAGTTGTACAGATTTGATTTTTATTTCTTGCACTGCACGTTTCTCATTATGACTTGCAAAAAAACATGTACAGTACAATACATTTTTTAAGTTTTTATTCAGAATTTCAGGAATTACCTCTAGCGTTCGGTGACGCGGGAAGGTGTTTAAAGTTGGGGTGCTGAAATTTTAGGCAGCGTTTGTGTGACGTGAATGATGACGTCATGCAAAATGATTCACCTTTTTATTTAGATTTTTTTCTGATGATTTCTTCAAACAGAGCATGTCGTGACCTGCAGTAATGTGGACGACAGTTTACACACATAACTGACACAGTAAACCGCTGATACTGATTTCTCTGCTCCCTTCTGGATGAACTTCATGCAAATGAGCTGAGAGGTGACCAATCAGATTGCTGATATGTGTTGCACTTGAGATTCAGCTCTCGGATGGAGAGATAAGGGTTAATAACACAGGAATGTGTTCAAAGCGCTGGACATTATTCTGTGTTTGAGTGTAAAGACAGTGTTCAGTTGCTTTGTTAATCAGAACTGGCCACAGCTCTGACCACACTTCCCTCTTTAACCTCAACCTGGGAGTGTTTTAGTGACCCCCCAAAGCGGTCAGCAGGTCAGGGAGGTGATTCGGCTCTTAAACAGTGAACGGCTACTGCAGGGGTTGAAAATATATGGATAAAATCTAAAAACTCAAACTCTAAAACAAACACACTTGAACTTCACTGCGTTCAGATTCATTTACAGTTCAGATCTGTTTTAATTTAAGGAGTTTCAGTTAAAGGATCCTGAAATCTCAGCACCCCCACTCCCCCCATCCTGCCTCAGCAGGCCATCTGTTAGGGTTGTTCTGCCCTCACAGTGCGTTCAGGCCTCCCTGACAGACAGTCAGCATATACAGTTCTGTAAATAAGTGACCACTCCCTCTACAGAGACACACTGCTGTACATTTAACACACAGTTACTGTTTATTGAATTTAACATTGAGGACAGAAGGAAAAATAAATGGGGCTCTGTGTAAAAGTTACAGGACATTTTATATTTTATGATAAACTCAGACACAGATAGCATTTAGCTTTACAGTAAATGGACACTGTGCGTAAGGAGGCCATTTAGCCCCATTTTCCTAATACATTTATAGTAAATTGTGTGTAAAACTATCTCTTCAGCTGTGGAGACTCGTGTGGTGAGTGATGCGCTGCCCACACAATCAGGTGAAATTAATTAGACTGTAATTGTGATCTGAGCTCTGAGTCTCTACACACTGAGACGTCTTTACTGAGCTGCTGTGTTTATCAGGATGATGATCTGCACTGACAGCACTGCTGATTCAACAGCTTAAAGCTTTTTTTCTGTGATTATCCTAAAAATTAAATATTAGTGAATAGAAATATTAGAATTCTTTGGTTGAATGAGTGTTTAGTGTATGATCTTTCTCCACACTCTTCTTCACCTGTTTTAATCCATATTTAACTGAACTCTCTTCCAGGGTCTACAGCTGGTGGTCCTGAGGCTGGATCAGGTAATAATCTGTTGGGACGGGGGCATGTTTACCACTGTGTTTCATTCTTCCCTCGTTTTTTAACAACACTCTAAGTGTTCAGGAACTGAGGAGACACTGCTGTAGTTTTGAAAGTGGAATGTTTTTTCCATTCTTGTTTATATAGCATTTCAGCTGATCATCAGTTCGGGGTCTCGTGTTGTATTTTTCATTTCATCATGCGCCAAATGTTTTCAGTGGTGACAGGTCTGAACTGCAGGCAGGTCAGTTTACAACCTGGACTATTTTAATACAGAGCAGTGCTGCTGTAATACATGCAGAATGTGGTTTGACATTGTCTTGCTGAAATAATCAAGGCCTATAATCAAGGAAAAAGACGTCGTCTGGAAAAAAAAAATATATATCTGCCAAAATATATATATATATATATATAGATATATATTTTTTTTCCAGACGATGTCTTTTTCCTTGATTATAGGCCTTGATTAATATATATATATATATATATATATATTTCAGCATTAATGGTGCTTTCACAGATGTGCATGTCACTCATGTCATGTGCAGTAAATCACCCCTATACCATCATGAATACTGGCTTTTGAACTGTGCATCTTTAACAAGCTGAGTGGTCTTTAGCCCGGAGGACACAGTGTCCATGATTTCCAAAAAGAATTTCAAATGTTGATTAATCGGACCACAGGACACTTTTCCACTTCCCCTCAGTCCATTTTAAATGAGCTCGGGCCCAGAGAAGGTGGCAGCGTTTCTGGATCCTGGTTATATTTGGTTTCTTCTTTGCATTTTAGAGTTTTAACTTGCATTTGTGGATGCAGTGATGAACTATTTTCACAGACAGAGTTTTTTTCAGAAGTGTTTCTGAGCCCACGCAGTGATTTCCACTACAGAATCATATCTCTTGAATCTTTTGATCCTATTTTGTACCGTAGATGATGAAAAGCAAAAGTTCTTTGCTATTTTATGTTGAGAAACGTTATTCTTGAATTGTTGCACTATTTGATCGTACAGTCTTTCATAGGGTGGTGAACCCCTCCTAATCTTTACTTCTGAAAGACTCCGCCTCTCTGAGATGCTCTTTTATACCCAATCATGTTACTGACCTGTTGCCAATTAAGCACAAGGTGTTTTTCTTTTGCATTACACAACTGTACCAGCCTTTTGTTGCACCCGTCCCAACTTTTTTGGAACATGTTGTTGGCATCAAATTCTAAATATTTAGAATTTGAATATTTAGTGATATATAGGATTACATAATTTGGTCATCATTGAATTGTGCTTTTATTTACATTTTGCAGTGTCCCAACTTTTTTGGAAATTGGGTTGTATTAAAATTCAATCATTCCACTGTCCTGAATATCATCTACTTGTCGAGAAGAAACCACTGCCAACATGTCCAGGCATCAAAGCCACGGCATCAAATTTAACCAAAAAGCTTCCCTAAAAGAGGTCTTCAAGAATTCCAGACACCAAAAGCAGCAGGAAACCACTCAAACATGGCACAATTCTGCACAGAGGAATGGGCAACAATACTGATAGGCCCACACATCTAAATAAAAGAGAACATTTCATGGGATGTACTTTTTCTGTAACTGTAGTTATTAGCCTAATAGCTTAATAATTATTGCCTTTAGTGAATGGGGAAAGGTAGTAAAAATATTTTTGTGGTTAATTAGCTTAATCTCACATAACAAGTACAATACAGACTGTCTCCAGATCCTCCAGGGTTATAGTTCTTCTCGCTGATTCTCCTCTTCAGCTCACCCCACATGTTTTCAGTGGAGTGTAAGTCAGGGGGCTGGGGTAGCCATGTCAAAAGTTGGATTCTCTGGTCATTGATCATTTTTTGTGTGGATTTGGAAGTATATTTTGAATCATTGTCCTGCTTGAAGATCCAACCCTGACTTGGTTTTAGCTTTTTGGCAGAAGCACCCAGATTTTCATTTAGAATCTGCTGGTACTTGGACTGGAGTCCTTCATGCCATTAATCCTAAGAAGGTTCCCAAGCCCTTTGGAGGAAAAATGGTGGCAGAGACATGAGAGATCCTCCATCATACTTAACAGTGGGGATCAGGCTCTTCTCTATAACCATCCTTTTTACCCACAACCACCTTGAGTGTTTGTTACCAAAAAAGCTCTTTTTTTTGGTCTCACTTAATCTCACCTTAAACCTGGTTCTTGTCAAAGTTCCAGGAGTATAGAGAACTTTCTTATATGAAAGAGAAAACTTTCTTCTGGAAGGCATGTTGGACAGTTTGTTGGCATGGAAGTGGCATCATGGAAGAGGCTTGGAGACCCCAAAATGCACCTTCTGCTGGTCTCCAATCATGATCCTTGGGAAAAGTTTTGCCTCCCTGACAATCCAACTGTTTATTACCGCTCTGGATGTTTTAAACTTCTAGATCATTGCCCTAAAAAGTTAATAGGGGATTGTAGGCAGTTGACCAAACCACTGTGAGGCACATAAAGGGCGGTAATTCAATCTTTTGAAACTTAAATAGTTTTATGTCTATTTTGCATCTATTTAGTACAAATTCTTTCAACAGTTATATATTATAGGCAACAACTTTCTATTGTTTCATGGAAGGAGGCAGATCAGGACCACCCCTCATCCTCCACCTTGTAATTTTTGCTTATGGATACAGTCTAGGCCTTTTTAGCCATTCATCCACATGATAGGTTAGAGAATACACAAATTAAATGAGAAATGCATTTAGAAATTATGAAACAGTTTAAAATAGCTACATGCCAGAAAATGCCCATATTAATACATAGATTCATGTTGGGTTCAGCCAGGAATGTCAACAGTGTCATGTCATTTTGGGGCGGTCAACATCAAACGGCCTGTGTTCAGTATCTTTAAAGAGCGGCAGTTTAAGAAAGGTACCGACCACAATCATACTATTTTAAGAACATAGCACTCAGTAAATGGCATAAGATTATATAATGGAGAAAACGCTGGTAACAGTGATAGGCTTGATTTGGACAGTCATTGTTGTCAAAGTCTGTGGCGGCCGCTGATCTTCCTGGCTGGATTCCATTTCCCCACCAGCTCAGGTTTATGGCATTGACTTGGGCGTTGTCTTCTCTGCCTACACCGCCAACACGCTGGTCACTCCACTGGCACTTGCTCGGGGACTGCTCACCACGCTGTCTGCTCCTCAAGCTCCTCCACTGCACAGCACTGCACTGCTTGCTGCAGCGTTTGTATGCCAAGTTTTGGCCTTTCTGCATTGGTGGTGGCTGCTTGAAGGCTGGCTAGTGCAGTGAGCTGCATGTAGTGTCTCAGCTCCTCTGTCAGCAGCACGTTTAGGAAGTGTTCCAGCGCTAACTCTTCCTCACAGCCTCAAATGCCGGTTATGCCTGTGTGTTCTGTTCTACCACCAGTATGCTTATCTGCTGTTCCATTGCTGGAGGGCTGTGGCCGCTCTGTGGTGCTCTGTCGGCAGATCCTCAAGCACCTGTAGTGCTTTCCACTCCAGTGCCCGACACAACTATATTACTGTTGCAGCCACTGTCCAGCCGTGATGCCTGGGTGACCACTTGCAGCTGTGCGGAGTACATCTCTCAGGCACCCTTGCTGGGGCAGCTGTGGCACCCTTTGGAGGGGCAGGCATAGCACCTGGTACCCTCATCCTCCAGGCTATGTCTTCTTCGCCATCCACCTTCAAATTCAGATTTCTCCAAACTCAGCAGCCACATTCTACACAAATGTAGCACTGGCGCAGGACACATTTATTGAGGGTAGAGTAAACACTAGTTACATTACAAAGCCCACCGTACTCGAACACAGCTAACAATAACTCACTTAACAACAATTGGTCTTCAACCGGGAGTGTGGTGCCTGAGAGCATTTCCACTTCCCCATAGCTCCTCACACAGTGCAGAGCCCATGGCGGGCACCACAGTACTACAATGAAGAGCAGTATGCAGTATTCAGTGGTGCAGTACACAACACACAGTGTGCTATTTTGAACACAATCATGGATGATTGTTTAGGACTTACTGAACATTCAGGTAATCTTAAAGTTGAGAGAGAACATGATATTATTTTGCATTGTGCCATTTGGTGTAATTGTTCAAACCACGAGAACAGAAATGGAGCTGGCTTCTTAAACCCTTCAGCATCAATACTGTTCAACAGTGAATAACAATTAAAACAAAGTAAAATACACAGAAAACTAGAAAATACATCAAAATAAAACAATTTCCAACAGGACGTATTACAAAAACGTCCTGTCTTTTTGTCTTAAGATCTGACAGGTCAAGATAAGATTTTTCACAAATTCATATTACAGAAGCAAATCTGATCTTAATTTAGGAATCTTATCTTACAGCAAACTGAAAGTTGTGACACGTTCAGCTCCGTCTCCTCATTATTCACCACCATCACTGTAATATTTCATCATCAACATTAACACACGAAGGTGATCAGAGGGGCGGTGGAGATCGAGTCTGCAGCGTCTGAGATCTTTAAAACGCAGAGTTAGAAAAGAAAATCATCTCACAGTGAAAGCAGCGTTTTACAGTAGAAATAAATGGAGCTCATTATGCTGGTAGTGAACTATGCTGCTGACACAGCTGCCTAAAAACCATAGAAACGGACCTTAAACAGAAGTGAGGACCCTGTTGGGGTTCATCCTAAAGTTAGGACAGGATTTAGGAGGTTCAGTCTAGTTAGGATGTTTGTGTGATGCTGTTTTCTTACCTGGAGTTCATGATGAGATTATGAAGGTAGGAACTGTTATTCTGGAATAGTTACTGTCCAAAATTCAGTCCTACTGAAGTCGTCATGGAGACCAAACAGAGTTCAGAGGTTTCTGTAATATGACCCCTGGTCTTCCATGCTCGCATCTCTCTAACACATTAACATAGCATTGAAACATTTGGATGGATGCCAAGGAAAATATCCTTTACAAACATTATTTTAATGTGTAACATCTGTTTCATGTTTAGAAGGACTCTTTTTCTGTAAACCATCAACATTACAAACGTGTTGTAATTTAATGTAAAACACATTCCTGAACTTTTATCTTATATTTTTACTTTATTTTACCCATAAAAAATTCTAAAATTAAGATGGCATCTGATCTCAGTTACAATAGAGCTATCAGTAGCTAGAAATAACAGCAGTGGTAACCAGGCTTCTTATCAGCCTGCTAATGCTATACCCTGTTTTAAACAGCACCAAAGGCAAACATAATTTAGATGGAAGCTTTTATTACAGTCATTCATTTGAATGCCCACGTTTTACATTTTTAAAAAACCTCAAGACCTTTTACTTCAGTTTTTCAGCAGCTTCATGAGGAATAGTAAAGAAACTATTTTATTTCCATCGCTGTTCATTTGTCTGTAGTGTTAGTTTCTTTGTTAAACTAACTTAGTAACTTTGTTAAAGATTACACCTTCAGCATATGGTTGTAGTATGAGCAGAGACTGTATGAGTAGGAAGAGAGAACTCTGAGAACCTGAGCTGGAGTTCTGGGGACTTCGGAGATATAAGCACAGAAGTCAGGCTCATTAGGGAGATGAAATGGTTGTGTTTCCTACATGAAACAGAAAGGAGAGATCGAAATACTTAAAGTGGTCATTTTCTCTGTTTTCAGTCATTGCATAACTGTTATTGTGCACTCATTTATATTAACCCTCTCTTTCTAGGCCAACAACTTTACAAACTGCTCAAGAGAAACGCTTTGTGCTGATGGTACCTGCAAAGAGTAAACAAACTTTCATCATTATATACATCCTCCTTTTGAATGTATGAATCTTATGAAATTTGAAAGTTATGAAGAATATGACCACTGGTGGTCTCAAGGAGTTGAAAAGGTTAAATAAGTAAGAAACATAATTAAATTATAATTATAGATAATTATTTTATTTTCACTCGCAAACATCTTAATCGCAACCAGAAACAGCACTTTTCCATGGCTTTACTTTTACTCTACTTTTCAGCCTTTTTGACTTTTCAGCCCTTTAAACTTGACTTCTCAAGAGCTTTTCAGCTCTTTTTCTAGCCCATCAGCTTGTCGCTTGGAATGGGAAGAAATGGGACTGGGCCTTAGATTGGGATTTTATATAGAAATGGAGCTTGAAAGTTGTTCAAGCAACAGTTGCATCAGTATTAGACAATGGGGATGCAGGATCTTAAATATTAACTATTGAAACTATTAGATGTTACTAGGTTCGGTATTTTGTGCTTTTTATATTATTTAGACTCAGGATGTTTGATCTCAGTAACTCTGTGTCATAATCTTCACTCCTAATCATAAAGTCTGTGTTTCTAGTTTTTTCTTTTGTTTGTTTGTTTTTAAATATTACTGTTATTCTTTGTTTAATTCTATATTTAACATTTGCCTGTTGTATGTGCAAATAAACTGCTTTCATCAATGTATGAGCTGTCTGTGTTTACTATGAATGTATGCTTTTAGCCCTGTTTTAACGTCCAAGACCGAAGGGGCTTGACCAATAGCAGGTGGAGGACCATTCCACAATCTCAAAGCATAATCACCTTAACATTTCAGACGAGCCCTTCGAATGGCCAACAAATCCCTGAGGACAACCTCAGAGATCACTGTGTGGTTGAGGGTGTGTGCAAATTACCAATGTAAGAGGAGGCTAAACCATTCAGTGCTTTAAAAACAAATAAAAGCACTTTAACTGTATCCTGTATTGAACAGGTAGCCAATGAAGCAAAGCAAGGACTAGAGTAAAATGGTCTCTGTTCTTGGAGCTGTTACTTGGTAAGTAACCTAGCTGCAGCATTCTGGACTAACTGTAAATGTTGCAATAGAGGTCAGAAAAAGAAAGAAAAGGCTTAAACTTTGCAATGTTTCTAAGCTGGAGGAAACTACTTCTTATCACAGAGTTGACTTGTGTATCAAATCTGAGATCTGAGTCAAAGACAACACCAAGATTTCTCACTGAGGATTTGACACATGAAGACAAGTGACCAAGGCTATTGGAGACACTGTTAAGAGATGAGAAGCACAAAAATTGACCTTTGACTTGCCTTTATTCAGCTGAAGGAAATGGACATCCACCTCTTAATGTCCTCAAAACGATTGTTAAGCAACATTAAAGAGCCGTTATCATTGGGTCCAATAAGGAGGTAAATCTGTACGTCATCAGCATAAAAATGAAATCTGATGTTCCTAATAATATGCCCTAATGAGAGCATGTACAGTGAAAAAAGAAGGAGCCCTAGTATGGACCCTTGTGGAGCACCACAAGTCATGTCAGCAGAGAAGAAGAAATAGCTGCCCATCCAAGATGTTTTCAAATGTACTTTAGATAGGAACTAAACCTTCTCAGGACCACCCCTGGTAGCCCCACCCACTTTTCTAAGCAATAGGTATATTATGGTTGATCATATCAAAAGCAGAGCTGGGATTCAATAACATGATGATGGTGCAATTTCCTGCATCAACAGAAAGAAATAGGTCACCTAAAGAATGGCAGATTCAGTGCTGTTCATAGCCTTGAAACCAGATTAAAAATTCTAAAATACTGTTAACCCTTAAAAAGGCTGAGAGTAAGCTACCTTTTCCAGTAGCTTAATGAGAAGGCAGTTTGGAAATTGGGTGATTAAATACCGTCAATTGTAGCATCATGGTTATGCTTTTTAAGCAGCAGTGTAACTACAGCATATTTTAAGAACCACACCAGTGGTTAGTGAGGAAATTATACTGTTCAGGACTGTAGGTCCTAAAATACCAAAAGTATCCCTAATCAGCTGTGAGGGCAGAGTGGTTGTCGGTTTTATGCTCAGAACTAAATATGTTCATTTTAACACTGAAACAGCCTTAAAAGCCTGTAGTAAAGCACTTTAAGAACACTGGGCCTCTTTCACCAATATTTTCCTAAGTTTGTTCTTAAATGTGTTCTTGAGTAGGGTCCTAAGAAAAAGTCTGTGTCAGATTCATGACGTGTTCTTAACGCGCAGAACTGTTCACACCTTTGTGCTCTTGAGTGTATGTAGATTGTGTTCTTACCTAAGAACAAACCCCAAATGAGAAAACAGAATGTCAGAATCGTGAAAACTGTGAAAAGAAGAATTCTAAGAAGAAGAATTCTCTTATTAAGAACGGTCGAAGAATATATATTAAGGTTTGCAGTTACTCAACCTGCAGATCTACCTTCCTGCCAAATTTAGTATAATTTACTATATAAATGCACTTTCAGATTGTAGTCCATCTGTTTCTCGGCTCAATTTGTAAGCGTTCCTTTACCAGAGCAGCAGTGTCACTGCAGTGCCGAGAATGATCCACCACCCAAATACCTGCTCTGTGATGGTCCTGTGCGCATCCTGACCATTGAGAGAACGAGATGGATTACAATCTGTAATTGTATAACTCAGGGGTAGCTGGTATAAATGGTTTAGAAGGGCTAAGCCCTCCCCGTCTTCAAAAGAAAAAAAAGTCAAATTTATGTTTCATTTTATTCACATCGTTTTACTTGCTATTGATCACTGACTCAGAATTGATGGTTTTGGACTCCTGTGGACTCAAGAATAACAGCACTGTCAAAAGGTCATAAGAAAAATAAGAATTCTCTGGGTCTGATTTACATTTAGCCCCACTGTAGATTAGTGGCCCTGCGATGGACTGTGATGGCGAGGGTGTTTCCTGCCTTCTGCCCAATGAATGCTGGGTTAGGCTCCAGCACTACATGTGCCTCACCAAATTTGTGAGAAAGACACATACTACCTGCTATTGAACATACATTAAGGCCCAATCCCATTTCTTCTTTTTACCCCTACCCCTTGTTTTCGAGTGTCACCCAAACCCCTTGGAACTGAGTTACAGGGTAGTGGTTGAAATCTTCCCTACGAAATGGGACCCTCAAATAAAAAGAGCATCACTTCATTAACAGCTACTAGCGCTGCTCCGTAGGCGACCCTGCCAGTCTGCAGTGACAGCAGAGGAGGGTAAAGTTCAGCTCCTCACTGCTGGGCTTTAGTTACATTTAGGGACTCATATGCCTTCAAAAAGGAGGGGGGCAATTATTTATTATTGCCCACCCCTAATTCATTGATGATACGAAGCTATTCTCCAGCTTCTTGTTTGAATTTTCCCATTCCACCTTAAACGGTGCAGCAGTTACATTCTGGTGCTTCAGGCATCAGAACTGCTGAACTATTTAAGGTAGAATGGGAAAATTAGCTAGCTAGCTACCGAAACATTAGCATGCTATCAGTGTTTTTTTATGGTTGTTACGAAGAAAACAACCATAATACACTGAAACGACATTAAACGAAGATAATACAATTATTACAGTAATGTTTTAACAGAGAAAATACATTTGTAGGTTTCTTCGATCGC